GCGCGTTCCAGAAACACATTGACCCGCAGAAGAATCGGATTGAAATATTCGCCAAACCGATCACCGACGGAGGCGACCCCAGCTGTTTCGATTGGAACAGCGTCATCGCCATTCGATGTGTTGGAGGCCACAGTTGCGTCAATCCACTTTCCAAACCATGGAACATGGGCTGGGGAAGCCTACAACGGACAGACGTGAAATACCTCCACCATGGCACGACATGTCGTGCTTGGCGCAACATCCTTAAGTCAGGGATCATTCCTGGCTATATCGATCCTCCCAGAGAGACAAGTATTATAAAGGATCACCACGCACGGAGGCATTCTTCAGTTCCAGCACGTACATAGACAATGTCCAGAATAATCCCCATACCTCGGTACAATCATATAAGTTCACACACTACAAGAACGAGGTCGAGCTGGTGATCAACATGGAGATTGCCACAAAAGCTGGTTGCAGATTTTGGTTGGGCGCCCAAGGTGCTATCATGACAGAAGACGTGGTTCCCGCAGCTGCAGTTATTGCAATTCGCCGTCTCCAACCACGCCACGAGCACGGCCGGCAGATTTGGCCGGAGGGCCCGGCCTGGGACTACCCGCCATTGGCCGCACGACAACCATTGAGCAACTACGAAATTTGTGCCGTTCTTCCTGGGCAGGAGTTCATCGATAACCCTCCTGGGATTACACCAGCTGACATGGATCGCGACATGGACCAGCAGCCAAGGACGCCGTCTGCATCAGCATCTTCGGCTCAGCGACCGATTGCCCCTCAGCTGGGGGCAGCCCCTGCTGGCCGCATATCTGACGCCGACGCTTTGGACGAAACAATGGTCCGCGCTATGATCGACAGTTGCGAGCACAACACAGAAGATAAAGAGTGGTTGATAGCTATGTCATACTGCCGAGAGGCTCTTCGACCCATCACATCAAAGACCACACAGAAGGATTGGAATCGTCGGCCCATATTTAATGACGTTCGCATGGGGGACTTCATTGTCACCAAGAATTGGGGATCTACCAATTGTTACCATTATGACAACCACTACCCCAAGGGCAACCACAATACCAAGGTGCTCATGAACAAGGGCCACATATACGGCCCAATCATTCATTTCGGAGTCTTCGACAAGTTCTTTGCGGTACAAATACCCATCCTCAACTACGGTTTACGATGGATAAACATATGGTATTGCGACAAAAACATGCCTCTCAAGGGCGTTGTCTTCGCTTTGCCAGTACGTACCGACATCGACTCGATACACATGAATATTGCGTTGGAAGGACCATCCTCATGCCGCGACAAAATACATCAACATAAACCGATGGTGATCTACCATATCTTGGAAAACCGAGCATTTATAAGCCACGTATCCCACGTACGCCGACCAGACGCCCCGCTCCTCGGACACCCGACCCCGATGAGCTGGTGGCCACACCTGCCGAGGATCCTACTACCGCAGACGACGGATCCCAAGGAAAGGCAGGCCAATCTGCTGAGCCTCTGGTTACTGTCATCGTGGATCTATCAAACATCCCACTCACTGCCGAGGAGAAAGCAGCAACTGACAACATGAGAGCAGATTTATCAGCAGAGATCCAAGCTGATGAGGACGTCGACGCAAGCATCCTCGACGACATCATCGACCCGCCAGAGGACTTCCTCAACCATCCCGGCTACGACCCAGAGGAAGATTCAAAGTGGATCAAGCAATCCTATGACCACCGCATATACCGCTGGACGTCGGAGTTGTTGGTGGACTCACCTATGATAAAGGTGAAACAAATCATTGGGGTGCATACTGGCAGGGACAAGATTGTGGTGGATAAAACACAGTCACACTTACGATTTGAGATTCAATTCGGATCCAAACCATGGAATGCAGAGACTTATTATTTGGATTACAATCATACCTACAAATGGGCACGTGACTTACCGATTTGCAGTGCAGATAGCTTCTTCAAAAAGTTGGTGCACTACCTGGACCCAGGGGTCATCGAGGAGTCGACTACAGGCGTCTTCCAATGGATTTCTAAAGTGTATCAGTCATATTGCTGGACAGCATTGCGGAGCTACGTGATTTCGCAAAAGACGCTATTCATCATACTCATCCTGCACTCAAGACGTTACGTGATCTATTTGCACATTGTATCCAGACATTCGGCAATCCAGGCTTCCCCGTGTGGAGGGAGCTGGTGGAAACACCTGCCGCGCCACAGGACGGACCAAGGCGCGGAGCAGGGCGCTCCCCAGGACCCAGGCAGCGTTGCATCCGCAGCTCCAGATCAGGAAACCATGGTACGGATCACAGCCCAGCAGAAGGGAATCGACCGCGAGGAAGGCGACAACGAGGCCGCCTTGCAGGATGAGGCTAACCGCACCCGTACAGAAAATGTATGCCATGGTGATACTGATGACGCGGACAACGACACGACCGAGCGCGTAGGACTGCCAGGGGAACGATTGTCTAGGATCGAGATCGAGGGAATGAGCCGATCGATCGCCTCCCGTCCGACCGCCGAGATCAACCGCGATGCCATGGATCAGATCGGCCGCGGTCTTGCTAGTGGTCGTGACACTCGCTGGGGATCCCGTGGGCATCTCACGATTAACGGGGCCCCAGAAGATACCCAGCATGATATCGCGCGATGTCGGAATTGCGATCGCCTCTTGTCTCTAGGGGTCCTTACAGATGAAGGTACCGTTTGTGACATCTGCTGGCAGTACACTGTTGCCGTAGGTGCTACGGGTAAAAGTACCGCCGTCGAGAGCGACCTGGCCTGCCTCCAGAAGCTGACCCACTGGCTCAAGACGGCGCTCTCCCAGGACGACATCACGAGGCACATGAGAGATGGAGCACAGGTCATAATGAAGGATAAGCGCTCCATTCCAGGACATGGGAAGGACATGCTGAGGATATTGGCAAATACTGCTAGGACAAGGCATGAGAAGTGGGTCGCCGCTGGCTCCCCTCCTGCACGCATGTGCAGATTGATGGGCGAGCGTGGGGACGACAGACCTCTATGCCATCCCTTTGCCAACCTCGTTCAGCGCGTTCTCAATGATTTGAAGTTCCACCACCAAATGACAGGCGCTCGTGTCAATAAAGGCAAGAACGCTTATACCATTGAGGACATGCGTGGCGCCTGTGAAATCCTCGAGACCAGCATCAGAACTGGCCAAGCTGGTCGGAAGAAATGTTGGTTGAACGCATGCAGATTCGACCGAGGTACGATGCAAGCGCGCGGACTTGTCGCGATTGCCCTTCCCAGAGGGGATGGCACCCGTGAGAGAGTCACGCAGCGCAAGCTTGCCGTGCTTGCCTCTGTTGAGCCCGCCTTGGGTTCCAGTGACCAGAGGGGGGTTGATTCAGGGATGAGAACCGATCCGATCGAACCTGATACACACTCCCAACACTCTGATGATGCCATGGGGCCATGTCAGCCGCGGCACCCGCCGCCGCCGCCGCGCCCTGCCCCTGGCGCCGCTGCAGGGCCCAGCGCCTCTGACGCGCAGGACTACATGCCCGCGGGGCCGCGCGGCGCTGCAGCGCGGCGGCAGGATAGCGGCGACAGCCGCAGACCAGCGACACCTCCACGCGCCAAGAGGGCGCGCACGACGGAGGACTACGCTACGTGGTGGCGCGACAACCTAGAGGACAGCCAGTGGGGCCCCAGATGCTGGAGCTACTACATCAACTGCTGGATGTACATCACGGACAACAGCGACGAGTTCGAATACGTACGCGACATCCAGTACAACAATTGGTTCCGCCACTGGGCCCCGAGGACGCCCTGGGAGACCTTCACGACGAGCTACGTCTCATACGATGGCCACAGGATGTGGGACCACAGGTTCTACGAGAGGGGTAGCGCGTAGTATAGTCGGCCGCCAGGCCCACCGCTCGAAAGGCTAGAACTTCATCATTGCACAAGTTCGCCTTGAGCGGTGGATAATATATCATGTTAGGCCACTTCACTATGCAAGAAAAGTGGCCACACTCATATCCTTGCGAAGCCCAAGGCAGTCTCCTAAGGAGCAACGCCAAGGGGAGTCGCCATATGCAGAATTTATGTATGCAGCTTTTCGTGTTTTTTCAACGCGACTTTGCGTCTGGCCAGACATTTGCTTTGTTATTTAGACGTGTTTCTTAACGCGATCGTGTTCATCAGCGCGACCTCATAATGCATTTTTTATCGCTTACTCTTTAGATTTTACTTGCATTGCGTTGAGAATGATCTGATGCCCAGCTCTCGACCGAGAGCTGGTGGCAACACCTGCCCCGCTTAGGCGCGGCAGCTTCTGATGTTGCTTTCGCTGGCTCTGATCCTCTTTCTCCGCCCGCCCGTGTCTCATTCTTCTCCGCCCTCCAGTGCCGAAGCGTTTTTGGGGGGCGCACCGAGGGGGCACCAAAGCGTGCTTGGCGAAGAAATTGGGGCCCTGGGTGTTCCTTCTTTTATTAACTTGCCTAATCGTGAGCGCCATCGCGATTGGGGCGCAGCTGAAGCTATACAGATTTTGCGCTCAGCTGCCTGACAGAATTGAGGATTAAAGGAGTTAAAGGGTGACCGGATCTTTTCCTCTGTTCCCGAGTCCTACCCTCACGGGCGGGATTCGGGACGGGGTGTGTGAATAGAACCCGTGTAATTCCCGCATATATACTCCTTATCCTCACCTCTCCTGCGCCTGGCCGTTTGGGCTCAGGTATTGGGACAGATCGATCAGACCTTTGATCGCGCACGAGGGGAAGACATCCATCTATCCCTCCTTCCCTCTACCAGCGGATCAGGGGTTCTGTACCCTTGTACTTCAACCCCATTCACAGTTTCGGCCCCGCCGCCGGGCCCATTCTTCGATACATGGGCGCCTTCAGGCGCCAGGAGGCGCTGGGAAAATCAGCTGCGTGAGCTCATTCTCTACCCTACCCTTGGCTATCCCTCCCTTTCGTTCCCCCCGAAGGGAGCTCGGACGGCGAGGATGACGCCACGGCAGGGCATCATATGCTGAAGCTCGGTAGGGCCGCGCCCGGGAGGGTCACGCCTCCCCGGCAGAGGCTCGAGCTGCACTTCCCCCCGGCGCTCCGCGCTGGCCGCTTGGCCGCGAGCTGCGCGGCCACGGCGCCGCTGCTGGCGCTGGCCTTCGCGGTGGGCTTCCTCGCGGGGTGGGGGGTGGGAGTGGGCAGGACGCCTCCCGCCGCCTCCCTCCGCCTCCCTCCTCCTCCCCCCTCCTCCCCCCTCCCCCTCCTGCTGCTGCTCCTCCTCCTCCTCCACAATTGCACAATCTGAATACTACTCTCCTCTCTCCCCTGGTGACGTCCGGGAAATGGCTGGCCCCCCTCCGCATTGTTTTTTAACACAGGGTTCCTGGGACACGGTTTTTCGCTTGAGTTGTCGTTGTTCAAAATGCGAGGCGTTGGCTTCATTTTCGGGCCACAGCTCGTTTCGAATCGCGCTCCCGCTGCAGCTCTGGCCTCATTTCCGCGCTTCCGCTCTTTCCGAATCGTGCTCCCGTTGCAGCGTTGGCGTGGCTCCAACATCCAGAAAATGTTCCCCCGAGAAAACCATCGGAAGTGATTACACATTCGGTGCCGATGTTGTTGGGCTGCAGAAGCCACCCCCCACTTCGGGGCGTCGCCACGCCATGCTATGTCATGCTACGCGTTGATCTTCAACACCGTGCTATGCAATGTAATGCTATGCCATGCTACGACATCCGATTGTGCGAATAGAGAAGAGATCTACCCCATAGTAAGGGATGGGAGGGAGGGGTAGAACGTCAGATATGACGCGAACGTACCTAGCTTGTCCTCCCCTCCCCCTCCTGCTCCTTCTCGTCGTCCTCCTCCTCCTCCTCCTCCTCCTCAGCCTCTTCTTCTCCTCCTCCTCCTCCTCCTCTCCTCCTCCTCCTCCTCTCCCTCCCCCTCCTCTTCCTCCCCCTCCTCCTCCTCCTCCTCCTCCTCTTCCTCCTCCTCCACCTCCTCCTCCTCCTCTCGGCCTCCAGCAGGCCGAGGCGGCGGCAGGCGCGAGAGCGCCGACACCACCGCGCCGCGCGCCACGCCTCGCGCGGCCCGGGGCGCGACGAGGTCTCCGGATAAGGTGGGCAGCCGCGTGCGAGCCCCCCGCCTCTCGGGGGCGGAAAAGAGGGGGGTGATGACTAGGGGGGGGTGGATATCATGGCGGGGGTGGGCCATGATTTCCCCAGATTTCATGGTGCCTCTTCTTATTTCATTACGTCCCTGGCCCCCCCGCTGGGCCGCGCACATGCCGCCGGTCATGATTTGCACCCCCCCCTCTTGGACACCCCCCTTTTGGCCGCTCCCGAGATAAGGTAGGCAGCCGCGTGCGAGCCCCCCCCGCCTCAAGGGAGGGCAAGCCACCCGGCCCGGACAGTTGGCGTTTATGAAACGGCCCTGCATGAGCGTTGACTACACCGCCCTGCCCTGCTCGATTCCTTCTTCTGGGCGCGTTTGCTACGAAGCGGCTTCGCGTGTCGGGGCGATTCTCGTGGGGGCGGATGTTTCTGGCCCCTGCCACCCCTGCAGGTCCGATTTCTGCGAGGGTGGCGGAGGGGTCCCAACGCCGCAGGACTTCTGCAGCCAGGGGAGCCCCGGCGGGGGTGTTCGATGCCCCAGCGTCGATGGGCCCGCGGGCGTGGGGCTCGCGAGGGGTGGCAGGTCGGAGCTGCTCCTCCCCGCGATGCCCGTGCAGGTGGCCTCAGAGGCGGTGCGCCGGGCTCCGCTGTGCCCCCTGCCCCTGCCCTTTCAGGGACCCCGAAGCGCCCCTTTTCTGCAGCCCTCGCTGCCCCGCGCCCGTCCATGTGTCCGCCCCCCGTCTGTCCCGACCCAAAGAGGTAGGGGCAGGACGGATCTCGAAGGACAGAATCAAACCTTCTGGACGCGCGAAACGGGTACGGAAAGAATAGGGTACAGTGCCCAACAGCAGTTCCTGTGCATTGTGAGCAGGATTCGCTGTCCACGCCGCCGCGGCCTGTGCCCACTCGAGACCGGAGGCCGCCTGCCCAACAGCGGCCGCTGTTGGTCTGGGACAACATTTGTTGTTGGGCATTGTACCCATTTTTTCCGTATCCATTTCGGGCGTCCAAAATATCAGCGGCAGGATCCTTGAAGTACATCAGACCGAAATGCGTACAGACCACACGTCGTCCATTGCCTCCTCGCTCTTGCTTCCTGCCCAGGCACGCTCGCGTCGTACAAGGAAGTCACGGCGGAAGTCGTTTGATCGTTTTTGCCTTCTGGGGGTCCTCGCTGAGCCCCGAGACCGTCGAACAGCGACTCGGGATGAAATGCCAGCCCTTGGGAAAGGGTCGGGACTTTCCTCCTCCTCCTCCTCCTCCTCCTCCTCCTCCTCCTCGGGGCCCCGTGTTGAAAAATATGGTCATCGCATGTCTGGGGACACGACTCCATCGGACAGCCGTGCACATTGCGAGGTCCGCGCGGACGTCTGGGTCGGCGCGGGGCCTCCCTCCCTCGCAGCCCGCCCCCCGCGCGCCGCGGGGTGGCCCCCCCGAGACGCCGCCAGGGCTGCGGGCTCTCCCGCGCCGACCCCGGGAGGTGCGCGCGAGATCACCCTCCTCCTCCTCCTCCTCCTCCTCCTCCTCCTCCTCCTCCTCCTCCTCCTTCCTCCTCCTCCTCCTCCTCCTCCCCCTCCTCCTCCCCCTCCTCCTCCTCCTCCTCCTCCTCCTCCTCCTCCTCCTCCTCCTCCTCCTCCTCCTCCTAGAGAGGGGGGCCAGGGAGGGCGAACTCCGCGCGGCCTACAGGCCTACAGGTTGACACCAACACCACTATCGGCGGTGTGCCTCCACCGAGGGAAGGAGATCCCGATCTCGGTGATGGTGGTGATATTCTGGCTTCCAAGATGACGGAAATATTGCCACCAACACCGACATCTAGGATCATCTTCCCCCTGTGGAGGCGACCCCCCTGTGTTGGTGTTGGTGCCAATTTCTAGGCCTCCAACACCCGAGACTTTGTGTTTGGGATCCGTGGCAGCGTAAGGCTCGAGCTCGCCAGAGCTCTTGGCATCGCTCGGACGTGCGCATGTTTCCCTCGGCGAGGACCATCGAGGAGCATCCTGGATCACTTGGCGAAACAACCACGCACGAGGCCGAACAAAAAACACAGGGAATGGACGTCCGAGCGATGGCCAGGAACTCGGATTTGCCGAGGCCTTACAGTTTGGTTCGCCTCGTGTCGATCGGCGGCAACCTCGCCAGCGTCGTTCAACGTGGAATGCCGCACGCGACCCAGAATCGCTCGATGGGGAACGATCGGACGTTTCGCAACCGGCCGATTGCTCAAGGCTGAACGCTCCCCGCGGTGTCATTAACCAACGCCGAAGTCTGCACGCCACGAACCCTCATTAGGTGGTTGGTCGGTCTTCTGTTGATGCTGTCACATGTTTCGCCGTGTGGTCTCATCCCTGCAGGCGGGCATCGCTTTCCTGAACCTGCAGGGCAACGTGCACCCGCCAACCCAGGATTCTGGTGCACAGTCCTCCTCCTCCTCCTCCTTCTTCTCCTTCTCCTTTTCTCCTCCTCCTCCCCCCCCTCCTCATTCTCATCCTGACCCTCATCTTCATCCTTATCCTCATCCTCATCCTCATCCATCCTCCTCATCCATCCTCCTCATCCTCATCCATCCTCCTCTTCCTCCTCCTCATGCTGCCCGCCCATTCCCTCCTCTGCGTGCCTCCTTCCCCTTCCCTCCCCCCTCCCCATAGTTACCTGTTTCCGCTTCCCATCTCAGTGCCCCGTCCCTCTCCCTAGCCCTGGAAAGGCGGACGGTGTGGGATCAGGCAGGCCCCAGGAGAAAGGTGCATCGCTCCAGAGAGTTCCAGAACGCTCCCTGAGTGGCCAGGGCACCCAATCAGTACATCCTCCAGACCCGAGGGCTCCCAGAGGCTCCCGGTCCATCCACGGCCGAGTTTGCCCTCCTCCTGTACTCGTCTTCTGGGACTGGAGGGGTGGCGCAGACGCCACGCCGGGGTGCTGCGCCCCCGCGCAGGAGGAGGGCAAGCGCGGGTTCGCCTGGTACTCGAGCTGGTTCTACCTCCCGCGGCTCGCGGGCCTGTCGGCGCCGGGGGCGCGCTTCGACGCCTCGGGCCCCGCCGGCTGCGTGCCCTACGCGCTCCAGATCCTGGTGATGAAGGCCCTGAACGGTGCGTACAGTGCGCTGGCTGTGCGGCTGACGACATGGGAGAACCACAGGACAGGGCCAGCCCCATTCCGATCCGACCGAGATCGGCGTCGATCTCGATCTCGGCCTGATCGGCCCGGTCCGATTCCGATTTTCAGGAGGGGAAACACACACACAGACACAATTGATCGTCGATTCCCCAGAAAATATGGGAAAATATGGGAAGTGGGGGGGAAGACAAAAACCCAGAAAATACAGGAGCACATGGGGGTTCTTCTTATTTGAGTGTATTTATTTGTGTGTCCCAGGGCCCCTTCAGAGTTGCCGACGAGCCGGTGCGGTCCGATAGCGTTGCTGTTCTAGGCTTCCCAGATGGGGTCCGAGTAGATGGGGTCGGAGGATCGCGCCGCATCGCCGATGCATCGGCGATGCGGCTCGATGCGGAGTCCGACTTTGTCCGCGCCAGCGTCGCCGATGCATCGCCGACGTTCCCGATGCATCGCCGATGCATCGCCGATACATCGGCGATGCATCGGCGATGCGGCGCGATCTTTTGACCCCATCTACTCCGATCCCATCTAGGAGGCCTCTAGCTGTGCGTGTGGGCGCGGCCGATCCGATCTGATGTGGACTCCGTGCCGATGTGGCCCGATCTGGCGCACATTCCGACTCGAAGCGATGTGTACCGATAAGATGTTGGCTGTGTCTGCAGGACCGTGCGGGGGCAGATGGAGTCGCTCGCCCTCAAGAGGTGCAGGGGCGAAACTGGGGTGAGAAGGGGAGGACTTGTGAAAGGGGGGGGGGTGCGACATTTGCTGCGTGCAGCTGGCTTCGGCCCCGCCGCCAGTTGCTCTCCTCTCTCTGTACATTGGCGCCTCCAGCGCTGGGAGGCGTTGGAGGAGCAACCTGCGCAAGCGGATGCGCGTGTCACCGCGCGGTCCTTCACCACGAGGTTTTGAGCCCCCAGGGTAGCGCAGGGGGAGGGGAGGGAGGGAGGGGTGTTCGTCGTGCTGCTCTGCCCGTTATCTCACCTTTTCCCTCATGAGCCCCCAAGGTGTGCATGGCCTCGGGAGTACCCTTCAGCCGCCAAGGAGGAGGAGGAGGAGGAGGAGGAGGAGGAGGAGGAGGAGGAGCAGATGCAGGTCGAGGAGGAGGAGGAGGAGGAGGGAGGAGGAGGATGAGGAGGAGGAGGAGGAGGAGGAGAAGCAGGTCGAGGAGGAGGAGGAGGAGGAGGAGGAGGAGGAGGAGGCGCACGACCACGAGCGGGTCGTGCACTCGAGCCTGCTGCAGCGGGGGGAGGCGGCCCGCCCCGCGGGCTCCCCCGGCGCCGCGCGCCCTGGAGCGGTGCTCCTCGGCGGCGCGCACGAGTGGGCGGCGCGAGGGGGTCGGCAGCGGGAGGTCGGGGGCAGCGCTGGGGTTAAGTCGGGCGTGCCCCCGCTACAGGGGGATTTTCGATGGAAACATACCCCCAAAATATTCCAACGATACCCCCAAAAGGCCAACAAATACTTAAAGATAGTCCCCGGACTATTTCTGTATTATGTTTTGATTATTTTTGGGGTTCCCGCCTTCTTAGAAGGCCGCCCATGGTTCCCTTGCACCACCCGGTCGTGTGCGCTGCCAAGCCTCAGCCTCCAAGGAGGTGATCCAGGCATGCGATGTCTGGCTGTTTTCCTGCCCGCTTACCCAGTCGGAAGCTTTGAGACGGGGGCAATGCAAACGGGGGTCAGCCAGAGCGCCAGATCTTGCAGGATCCTGCAACGTCAGGGCTGCAATGACGATGATGATGATGATGATGATGATGATGATGATGATGATGATCATACTAATGATGTTGTTGTTGATGATGATGATGATGATGATGATGATGATGATGATGATGATGCTGATGCTGATGCTGATGCTGATGATGATGATGATGATGATGATGATGATGATGATGATGATGATGATGATGATGATGATGATGATGATGGGATAATAATCGTAGAGCATGAGTGTTGATGTGCACCGACAGTTTGGGGTGGGATCGTGGAATTTTCCTTGGAGCCTCGGAGCCCGCTGGGGCGTGCCAGCTTGTTGGGGGGCCTTTTCGCCGGTGGGCCACGTTCCCGGCCTGGCTCCCCTCGGCCCTCCAAAACGGGTGGGCTCGGTAGGTTGTGTTTTGGTTGCCCGTGAAGGCCCCCCCTGCCCTCACGTGTGCTGCACGGCCTGCTCCGCAACCGTACCATTTGGCTCCAATCTGGTACAGATTATCGCGAGGTCTGGGCGCCCAGCCCACCTCGCTGCAGGGCGCGGCATGGCGCCCTGACGGGAGCAGCGGACTCCACCCGTGGAATCGAAGACTTGTGCGAGGCCGCGGCGGCGCTGCCCAGGTGCAGCAGGCCGCGGCAAGCTGGTGTGCTGGGCGCCGTGCGCCGAAGGCGCCGGACGCCAGGCGGAGCTGGATGGCGGTCTCAGCTGGCGCCAAGAAGGCGGGGACCGAGGCGCTGCGGGCCGCGGGTGCGGACGTCTCAGACGACGACGTCGCGGGGCTCGTCCTGAAGGTGCGATCGACGTTGAACGCGGGGCGGGCCCCACGTTCGAAGCTGGACGAGGCGCGACGGCTGGAGGCAGCGCTGGACCCGGTGGCCGTCCGCCTGGCGTTGGGGAGCCCCGAGGTCCCGGGCTCCGAGGTGGCCGAGGCCCTCTGGGGGTTCACAGAGGCCGCCACGTTCTCCACGCAGGCGGAGAGTCGGATTAGACGAGTGGCCGCCGACACCGACGGCTGGGAGAAGGTCGCGGACCGGATCTGGGTCCGTGCCGTCGGCGAGGACGGGGACACGCTGCCCGTCGACTGGGTGCTGCACCTGGGCATCGGTCTCTTCCTGTCCAGCCTGGTGGTGGTGCTGTGGGCCGACTCCGGGCGCCACCGCCTGGCGGGCGCGGCAGTGGGGCTGTGCGGGACCTCCCTGCTCGTGCGGCGCGTGCCCGAGCGTGTGGCCGCCTGGTGGGCGCGCTGGAGGCGGCGCTCGGCCTTTGCCGCGGCGCTCAGCAGCGGCGGGGACGGCCTGGACCTCGCTGCCGCCGAGGACGACAGCGCGGCCTGGGGAGCTCCGGGGGCCCCGACGCCCAAGGGGAGCTGCGTGGCGGCCGCGGAGGTACCTACGGGCCCGCTGCACCCGCCTGGGCTCGCGGCGCTGCCGCCTCCGCCGTGGGCCCCACCTGCCGAGGGCGCGGGCGCGGGTGCCGCGACGGCGAAGCCCGGCTCGCAGGACCTGGCGGCGCTGCGGGCTTTCGCCCAGGGGAGCGAGGTGCCAGGCCCCTTCAGCCAGACGGCGGCCCTGCAGCAGCAGCAGCAGCAGCAGCAGCCACAGCTGCCGCCGGAGGTGGCCGTGCCAGCGGGGGGGCTCAGCTTCCATGCGCCTCACGCTCCTGCAGATGCTGTGAAGCTAGGCCGAGAGGTGCAGATGGTGGGGGCCACGCTCCGCGAGTTCCAGGCGCAGGCTGCTACGAACGTGTACTGGGCCTGGCACTTCTGGGAGAGAGTCGCGGCCGTGGACGGCTCCCTGGGGCTGCGCCCTGACCTGCGACGAGTGCTGCAAACCCACGGCTACGTGGGCGCGGGGACGAAGTCCCCGCCAGGAGGGTCGCTGCAGCAGGAGCTGGACGCGCTGCTCTCCTCGGCCACGGCGCCACACGGCGCGGGCATGCAGGCCTCCCCTGGGTGGGCCGTGGCCCCGCAGACCCAGCAGCAGCAGGAGGACAGCCGATGGAACCTGAGCCTCCCGCCGGATCTGAGGCGCGCAGCGCCGGAGATCTACCGCGCCATGCGGGGCGCGGGGGCGGCAAGCGCACGCGACTGGCTGTCGCAGGAGGTGACGGGCCAGCGGCACACGTCGGTCTGGACCGATCTGTGGACCGCCGCCACCAACGTGGACTACTTGCTGGGCGGGTGCAAGACCCAGTCCGAGCTGCTCACCCGCCTGGCGTCCGACGACGCGCTGGAGTTGCACTTGAGGCGGCTGGCGAGCTACGTCTACGAGATGCGGACGAAGGACAAGGTGGGGGCGGCGGCGATGTTGGCTGTTCGCCCGCCCGGGTCGGCCGCCGACTTGGCCCCCACATGGCTGGTGACCGAGGCCACGACCCACAGCAAGGCTGAGCACCAGCGCGACGAGAGGGTCCACGCCGCCAGCAAGCGCGACGGCCGAGGCGGCGGCCGTGGCGGGGGACGCGGAGGTGGAGCTGGCAGCGGCGCCGAGGCAGCTGGTGGCGGCAGAGGCAGAGGTGGTGGCGGCGGGGGGCGCGGCCGCGGCCGAGGGGGTAAGCCCTCGGGCCGAGGCAAGCCCCAGGCTTGACAGTCACTGGCGGACCGAGGGGCTCACGACCCTCCCTCGGTCCGAGTAGGTGCCCCGCCGCCGCGGGTGCAGCCTAGAATGCCAGTGACGGGTTTGTCGGGCTCGCTGACGCGGGCCCTGCAGTGGAAGGAGGCCGAGGCCAGGTCGTTCTTTCCCATTCCTCTACCTCATCGGCCACAGCAAGGAGCTTCCTCTTCCGGCAGGTTGAGGACGCGCTGGGCTCGACGCATGCGTGCGTGGCGTCGGGCCTGCGGGCTCATCGAGCTCATGAATGGGATGGGCCGCGGATCCCTGGAGGCGAGACCAGCGGGCCAGCGCGAGTCGAGCGACGACGAGATGATGCTGGCCTGGCAGCTCGTGCAGCAGTACGCGTTACAGGACGCGGCGCGGTACGAGCGCGACTGCCGGGGGCTTGCCCCGACAGGCGGTCAAGGGACGGATCTTGCCTGCGACAGAGGACCGCAGGACGCCTACACTGGAGAGCGCAAGGGTGTGAGCAGGCACGTGACGATGTGCGCAGCGGCGGTGGCAGAACCGCCTGATGACATGGTCGTGGACCTGCTGGAGGCGCTGCCCGACGGCGAGCGCCAGTGCTACTCGGACGAGCGGAACGTTCTGGACTACAGCGGCAAGTCAGGGGTCATCTTCGAGGAGCTGGAGGAACGTTTCGCTTTCGTGGGGGGCTCGACGTCCGAGTACGCCCGCTACTTGATGCGGGGCGATCTGCCGAAGGACATGTGGACGTTCGAGGCCCCCGGCGACGTCCAGGCCTACTGCGGGTTCAGCTGTGTGCCCAAGAAGGACCCCGCCAAGCAGAGGAAGGTCCTGATGATGTGTGCCAGCAACTACGCGTGGGCCGACCCGCACCAGCGCGGCGATCACGGGATGCACGGCGGGGCGGCCATCGCCTCCATGTGCGTCCCGACGGACGAGTGGGGCGTGGCGGCGTTCGACGAGGACAACGCCTTCACCCGCCTCCGCGTCCCCGCTTGGATGGCCAAGTGGCAGGCATGCCCGCCGATCCGCGCCTGCTGGGTGTGGGCGAAGCTCAGCCAGCGCCTGCGCGACATGGTGGGGCCGACGGGCTGGATAGCCCCCTGCTACCATCGCCTGGCCATGGGCGGCTCGCACTCATGCACCTGCTCATGACGGTCAACATGGCGATCATCGGCAGGGCGCTGCTGGGCGTGGGCGCACGCTTGGGGGCGCTTGCGGGCGCCGCGGCACCCGCCGACGGCGCTGCCAGCGGTGTGCCACACACCTCGCCGCCCGAGGACGGGGGGCTGGAGGATGGCGACTGCGTGGATGCCGGACCTGAGGACGCTCAGCAGCATCGCTACGACGACGACTGGCTCGGGCAGCAGTCCAGCTGCCGCGCCGCGCCGCCTAGCCCGGCGGGCTACAGCGTGGCAGAGTGGATAGAGGCCGTGAAGCGGGCGAAGAGGGCGGACGAGCGTGCGATGGCGGTGATGCATCTCTTCGCTGGCCGTCGGCGGCGTGGTGACGTTCAGGAGGTGGTAGAGGCTGGCGAAGGAGCGGAGCTTGAGGGTGCTCTTCCTTTCCGCCGATCTCCTGGACGACCCGCGGTGGGACCTGGCCAACCCCTCCACTTTCTCCGCCTTGATGGAGCTGTGCGAGGGCGGCTGGGTGGACATCGTGCTGGGCGGCCCGCCCTGTTCGACCTGGTCACGGGCGCGCTACAATCGTCGCCGACCTGGGCCGCCGCCGGTGCGCTCGCGGCTGTGCCCCTGGGGTCTGCCAGGTCTCAGGGCCTGGGAGGCCGCGAGAGTCGCGGAGAGTAACACCCTGACGTTAAACTTGTTGGCGCTCTGCGAGGCGTGCGGCCAGAGTGGCGGCGCCTTCCTCATCGTGCACCCGGAGGACCCAGGGCCCGCGCCCTACCCATCCATCTGGAACACGAATGAGATGCTGGACTTCGAGACGAGGCGCTCGTCGCGGAGAGCGTGCTTGGACCAGTGCATGCTGGGCGGACGGACGAAGAAGCCCACATGCCTGAGCGGCGCGCTGCAGGGGCTGGAGGACCTGAATGAGCTGCGGTGTGACGGGCCCCATGCCCACGAGTCGGCCGAGGGCAAGTTGGCCGACGGCACCTTCCGCACGAGCCCGCTGGCCCAGTACCCCGAGGGGATGTGCGAGTCGCTGGGCATCTTGATTGTCCAGACCTTGGCCATCTTCGAGCAGACCGGCTTGGGCGGCACCGGGTGGCGAAGGCCGCCAGAGGCCGACAGGGCGGTCACCGCTTGGAGCTCGCGGAGCACTACGGCACCAGCGGTGGCCGTGCGGAACGAGGACGTGCTTCGCGGCCGTGGGCTGGTGCTGGACGGGCCGCAGATGGCCTTCTACCTGCGCGTCGACGACGGCGTGGTGATGGCAGGGGGCAGCGGCTGTGGCCCACGGGCCACTGGGAAGATGCACCAGCTGGCGGACGCCCTGGCCGAGGCCGGCTTCGTGGTCACCGACCGCACGGAGGCCAGCGACATGCAGAAGGTGCTTGGCTACGCACCACAGGCGCGTCCAGCGCAGCTTCGCTTGCCTCCGAAGAGGGCACGGGAGCTGGTGCAGCAGCTGGAGGCGATGGGCGCCACCCGCACCCTCCGCACCGAGGAGCTGCGCTCGCTCTTGGGGGTGTGGATCTGGGGCGCTCTACTACGGCGGGAGCTGCTCTGCATACCCAGCGCCGTCTTCAGGCTCCTGGAGAGGTACCCGCACCAGCGGGTGAGCACCTGGGCGACCGTCCGCAGGGAGCTGCGGGCCATGGCTAGGGTAGTCCCGCTGATGTACGCTGACCTGGGAGCCCCGCCAGCCCCCGTGCATTTCGCGGCGGACGCCATGGGCGCCAACGTGGAGGACGACGGCGGCTGGGGCATCCTGGTGACCGACATGAGCGAGGACATCGTGAAGGACTTCATCGACACGGGCGGCAACTTGGGCTACACCGTGGCGAGGCTGGGCGGCGAGCTCACTGGATTGCGGCGCCCCGAGCAGGTCATCAGACGGACGAAGCCCTTCAGCCTCCTGCCCGATCGCGTGTTCAAGCCCGACGAGGACTGGACGATCATAGGAGCGGGCAGGTGGCGGGCGGCCGACCACATCGCGCTGGGCGAGGGGCGCTGCGTCGTGAAGATCAGCAGGCTGGCGGCCGCCACGCCTGCCCTTCACCGCACCGTGCTGCCGATCCTGGAGGACAACCAGCCAGTCTCAGGTGCGGTATGCAAGGGCAGGTCCCCGGCTCACCTTTTGAACCACCTGTTGCGTCAGAAGACCGCAGCAGGGATGGCATCTCGCACAAAGATTTTGATTCCATGGGTGGAGACGCTCAGGCAGCCTGCTGATAAGATATCGAGGTGCCTGACTCGTGCTGAGCTCCGCGGCCTACCTCATGTCGGGGCCGAGGAAGCTGGACAGCACTTCTGTTGAGAAGGTTAAGCCGCACACCCTGGCGGCCTACAGGGCGGCGGCTATGAAGTTCGTGACCTACCTGGACGAGCACGGCTTCGTCCCCGACGGGCCCGAGCAGTGGGACGACCTGCTTGTCGAGTACAAGAACGACATGCAGATGACCAAGTGCAATTTTGAGTACGCCGTCGCGGCGGTGGAGTTCGTCTTCCCACGCCTGAGGAGGAAGCTGACGTGGTCCCACTCGGTGATCGACGCATGGCGAGTGTCGGCCGAGGTGAAGCACGCGCCGCCGCTGGGCCGCGCGCCGGCTAACCTGGCCGCCATCTATTTCTCCTGCTGGGGCGTGCCGCGGCTGGGCGTAGGCCTGCTGCTGCAGGTGGGCCGCGGCTTGCGCCCATCGGAGATGCTTCAGCTCAGAGCAAAAGACAAATCCTTGCCATCGTCTAGAGGGGGACCTGATCTGCAGCCAAATTGGGTTATCAACCTGGGGGCCAAGTCGGGGACAAAGGCTAAAAGGATGCAGTTCGCCATTATTTTGGAGCAGGGCGGAGTACTGGAGAACCTCTTACACCGAGTAGTCTTGGGAACGCCGCCCGAGGGGCTCCTCTTTCCCTATTCGCTCGTCGACTACAGGCATCGGCTCAAGCAGTTTGAAGCAGCCTTGGGCCTCGACATTCACTGGACGCCTCACTCGGCGCGCGCAGGGTTCGCCAGCGATTCCGTGGCTCGTGGTGTCCCCTTCCAGGACATCAAGGAGGCAGGAAGGTGGCTCACAGAGTCCAGCCTCCGCATCTACGTGGACGTTGTCACCGCCTCCCGGGTCCTGGCACAGGCTGAGCAGCGAGGGATCGCCCCGCTCATCCGCGAGGCGGCCGAGAAGCTGCCCAACTACTTCCCGGAGGGCATCTTCGGCGAGGGCGAGGGCATCCAGCATGCCGCCAGCGGGCTGGCGCAAGGGCCAGGACGGCGCCTGGGTGCTGCCTGCGGAGGGAGCCCCTCCAGCGCCGCTGGCGGGGGGCCGCCGGGTGGCCCACCAGCGCCCCGGGCAGCGCCAGCCCAGCCGCCTGCGCCAGCACTGGGCGCACTGGTGGATGGGCTGCTCGCGGGTCCGCAGCAGCCGGGGGATGCAGTGGCGGGCGCGGGCGCGGTCGAGGCCGAGGCGCCAGCGCCAGCGGCCCCTGGCGCGGCAGCACTGAGGCCCCCGCAGCCGCTGGAGGCGCAGCCGCTGGCAACGGGCGCGGCCGCGGGGCAGAGGCGCGCGCGCTGGAGCAGCTGGTCGCCGCTGCGCGCGGCCTGGCTCATCGCATGGTGGCGCGGACGCTCAACCTCGCGAGGAGTGACGTGGGCGGCGGTCGCCGCGATGATGATCGGGTGGCGCTACGTTGCCGGGCCGCTCGCCCACCTCGGGACCATGATGGGCGTCGCGGCCAGCGTATCCGTCTCGGCTGGCAAGGTGGTCGACAGCAGCCTCGGGGCAGTCATCGCGGCGGCACAAGGCGTGTCCGACTTCGCCGTGACGTCGTCCCGCAGCTCGGCGAGCCTCTGCAGGAGGCCTGGCGCGGGGTGGACATCACCGACCTTCACGTCCGCCAGCGCCACGCCGAGCGGCTAGCGGACGACCCCGAGATCCTGCAAGCCTGGATCCAGCGCGAGTTCCTGACAGGCGAGCCCCGCCCGCCTGGGGCCGAGCAGGTCGCCACCGCGATCTCTGAGGCTTCGGTGACCATACCTCACATGGCAGAGAGATGGCAGATGCTGATCTGGCCTGGTCAATACCGCGAGCTGCACATGACGCTCGACCTGCTACCTTCCGGGTTCTACGGAGTCCATATGGTCGAGAGGATCGTCAACTTCACGGTTCAGTGGAGCAACCCGGTGTGGAGTAGCCTCGACTGCGACATCAGTTCAGAACGAGATACAGTCGTGGCTCATATCAACTCCACCCTGGCAGGGCTCCCGCTCCCCGAGATCCGCTATATGTCCATGACTGATCGTGAAATCCAAGTTGCTAGGCTCCCAGGCGCCTGGATCAACATGGCCCGTAGGCTCGTTCGCGCTGTATATATGACAGTAAAGAGTGTCCTGCAGCTCGTTTTGTTCGGAGTCTAGGGTGGTCACCGAAGATATAACTTTTCTGGAGCACACTGCGAGGGCGGGCCTGGGGGCTTGCTTTCGGTTTTGATTGTGTTCCAGGTTCCTTCTCAAATCATTCAAGGTCCGAGCACATTTTGTGCCCCGGGTGAAGGACCAAGCTGTTGAGACACATACAGCTCGCAAGCGGAGGTGGGTAGAGCTCGGCGGCAAACCTGTAGTTAGCAAGCCAAGCAGCAATTTTATTGTACTTCTCGCCTCCTCAGCAAAACATTCCAGGGGTGGGTCGAAACGGACACCATCATGGGATAATAATCGTAGAGCATGAGTGTTGATGTTCACCGACAGTTTGGGGTGGGATCGTGGAATTTTCCTTGGAGCCTCGGAGCCCGCTGGGGCGTGCCAGCTTGTTGGGGGGCCTTTTCGCCGGTGGGCCACGTTCCCGGCCTGGCTCCCCTCGGCCCTCCAAAACGGGTGGGCTCGGAAGGTTGTGTTTTGGTTGCCCGTGAAGGCCCCCCCTGCCCTCACGTGTGCTGCACGGCCTGCTCCGCAACCGTACCATTTGGCTCCAATCTGGTACAGATTATCGCGACCCCCCCACCGTCCCCCGCCGAGCCAGAGCTCGGCGGCAAACCTGTAGTTAGCAAGCCAAGCAGCAATTTTATTGTACTTTTCGCCTCCTCAGCAAAACATTCCAGGGGTGGGTCGAAACGGACACCATCATGATGATGATGATGCTGATGATGATGATGTTGATGATGATGATGATGATGATGATGATGATGATGATGGTGCTGATGATGATGATGATGATGATGATGATGATACTGATGATGATGATGATGATGATCATGATGATGACGATGATGATGATGATGCTAATGCTGATGATGATGATGATGATGGTACGACGGAAGGTAATGATGACGATGGGGATAAGGAGGACGAAGAGGGGCATGAGGGGGGATGGGGATGATGATTAAGGAGGTCCGGTCCGGTCCGACACACTCGAAGTCAGCAAGCCGATCGATATGTAGAGGAATATGCAGTGCCGCGATAAAGTATCGCCAATCAAAGCTTGCCAACGTGAGCGACGCGACCCGTTATGTAGACAGGTCAAAGCCCCACACCAGCAGCGGGACGCACCGACGTGGCGTCTCCGCTGGGCCTGGGTCGCGGCAGTGCTGAATCTGCCCCAGCTGGCCGCCCTCACAAGACATCGCGCGTCAAAGGAAGAAGGGGGCGGAGTGAAGCAGGGGCAGGACAGCGCCGCACCGTGAGCACGCTCGCTGCATTCGTCGGCAAGGGCGTACAACTGGCGAGCATAGAATTGCGCCAGCATGCGATCACCAAGTGTGCGTTGCGACACTTCGGCCGCATTTCAAATGCCCGCCGAGCACGGGAACTAAATTCTGGCGGGGCATTCGTCAGCAGGCGGCCGCCGTTACGACAAGATCCTGTGTTTTTTCCAGCCCAGAGGAAGGAGAGGAGGAGGAGGAGGAGGAGGAGGAGGAGGAGGCAAGGAGGAAAGCAATGCGCCGCCGGGTCACTCCTTCATCCGCTTAATGCGGGCCTGCAGCTTCCGCTCCCGCTTCGACGCTGGCGCTGACCCCAACACCTCCTCGCCCCCGGCCTGCATCCACACGCGAACGATGATCTCCACCACTGCCTTGACCAAGGGATCCCCCCCCTCCACGAGGCGGAACCGGAAACGGTGGCCCTTGTCGCGCGTCTCGTAGGCCCTGAACTCCAGCACCTCCCTCCCCAGCTTCTTGGGCACGTCGTACTTCGTCAGGAATTCTTCGATCTTCTGGTACTCGGGCGGTTTCGCCCCCATCTCCTCCGCGGAAAAGTGCGTCTGCCCGATGAGCGCTGCGGCAATCAGCGCGTGGTGGCAAGGCACTCCGTGCCCGTGGCCCCGTTGGCCCCGGGCCTTCTTCTCGTACTCGCCCACCGCCCCGCGCATCCCGTCGTAGAACGCCTCGCCCACCTCCCCCGGCACCAGGCACGTCCGGTAGAGCGCCGCTGCGTGGTTCCGCGACTCCGCCGCCACGGACGCCAAGAGAATCAGCTCGTCCCTCTTCGAGGCCGCGTCGGGCTCCTCGGTCTCGGTCCTCGCAGACTTCGCGGCGCTCCCCTCCTTCTCCTTCGGCTTCGGCAGGAAGTTCTTGTAGGCCTCGCTCATCGGGACGTGCGCGTGCTGGGGCAGGAGCAGAGCGCAGCCGCTCGCGAGCGGCGATTCGGGCACACAGGGCTTCAAGAGCCGGGATAAGCGTGGAAGATACGGTCGTGCGAGAAGCTCTCACTGAGCCAAGATGGACTACACGGATATGGCGTTGAAGTAATGGTAGCGTCGTGAAAACCTCTGCGTCACAGATGGGGCACCCAAGGTAGCCCGGAATTTCCACATCGTGGCGAAAGACACTCCCAGACCCAGAGCAGAACCCTCGGCGAATAGATGCCTCCAGATGCTCGCGGGCGTTCGGCCGGGTAGAAAAAATTGACATGCACACGCAACACTGGTTTGTAACAGTGGCCCTTGCGCCCAGACCAATATCGCCATGACCCGGAAGACGACTTTGATTTTGATGCGCACGGAGTGCCCCGAGCGACAGAAAACTGCGGCCGCAGCGCTCCGTCTCGAGACCGGGCAGGTTGCAAACGAAAGACGGTGCCTCCACGCGATCAGCGGCACGATCCTGACGAGGGGCAGGTGCCAGGTACCCTGGCGGCGGAATGGCCACGGTGCGAGTGCGTGCACGAAGAACGCGAGGATCAATGCCTTGAACCCGTGCGGCAACATCCTCGTCGAAAAACACATGGGCAGGATAACGACAACAAAGTGCAGCGACATCCTCATAATCTGGATGACAAGATAATGCATCAAAGTCCTCCGAAACCTGTCTGGCCCATGGGTTCGCGTCTGGAAGCAGAGTGCCCTGGGGGTCAAGCACGCGCCGGCCGTCAATCTCCCCGAATACTGTCAAGATCCATTGCACAAACCTGCCAGGGGTGGAACACATGACCTGGTACCACCGTATGCGCTCAATCCTAAGCTCGACCTCGGCCTCGGAGAACTTGAGGGCCCAGCGAACGTCCTTGGTGGAAGGCGCAACGGGATGGCCTTGGGAACACTGCTGGAGACGCGCCATCAAGACACGACTGCCCATGTCGCTCCAAGCGTCATCGATCATGCGAAGGTCAGTGCGAGAAGGGACATAAGCGGCAGCACCAGAAGTAGTAGCACCGATCACCATGGCCCGGAAGGCAAGGACAGTAAACTCACGGGTAGAATGCGCCCAGAATCGCTTAAACCGGCCAAAGTTGCGCTGGGCAGCCTCGATGTTCTTCGCACGTAGGGTACTGAAGCTGCACCGCATGTTTCGCCAACCACCCAAATGCCTAGCAGCAGAAACGACCCGTCCAGGAAAACCACAAGGACCATAATAAACTCGACGAAGAACGCCCTGAGAACCGGTGCCAACAAAGTTGACGACGACCTCGCACTTGCCCCTGTGCTGCACGATCGAGGGGACGCCGGTAGAGTTCAAGAGAGCCTGGTCCAGTCGCTCGGAAGCAAGACGGCACCGAAACAGAGCTGTAGGGAACGAGTCGGCCACCAGCGTAGTCTTGGTATCGTCGGCAAAAGTCGAGGTCCCGACCTCCGCCCGGCGCGCAGCGCCACAAAGCTCCAGCGACGAAATAATGCGGAGCTCGGCGAGGCTGTTCACGTACAGGTCGATCTTGGGATGGAAGACGCCGAGGAACCACTTCGGCCCAGCGCGGTGCCCCATCCGAACACCAGAGCCAATCAAGTACCACGTCTGCGTTCCGTCGGCGGTGTCAGCGCGGACCAAAGCGCACTCCAGCTCGTTGAGGAAAATCTCGCGCTCGAACGGGCAAGAAACGAAGGCTCCCTGAATGTGCGATTCAAGCTCGGACGTGTGAGGGCAACAGAAAGCGTTGCGCATGTCAAAGAACAGCTCGGACGTGCCACGGCCCATGGATTGCAAGCGAAAGGCAAGACACGTGGATGCGGCAATGGACTCCTCCCTTCGACGGCAGCGGGAATAGCCAGTAGCATAGTCTCTATCCAAAAAATGAGAGCCACGGGCCCACAACATCGCCATGTAAGCACCAGGCAGAGCGCAAAAAAGATGAAGATCCCGTACCGCGTCCCAGCCAGTGGCCCCATCTTTTTTTGGTATCTCGATTAACCAAGACGAATGCCAGCGAAGTGGAGCTTGTCGACGAAACCGGACCAGGGCGAGTAAGAGTAAAAACGCCATTTCGATCCAAGTTGATTCAGAAGTCTCGGCACGATATCCCAAACCAGAGCCACGAGACGTAGATACCTGTGGGGAGAAAAGCATCCGCAGAAGTTCATTGGGGATCCCCCATGGCGGCACGCTGCGGCGATAGGCCGCACGAGAAACCTTCTTTCGAACATCGCGGAGATCCCGACGTGCAAGAGGGATCCAATCGCTGAAGACCCAGGGCCGTGAAGACCGTCGAGCAGACAGCACAGCATCGTAGTCGACATCGTTGGCATTCAGACCACCCTCCTGCGCCGGAAGCCGGAGGCGATTCCCTTTCTCCTGGCTTGTTGCACGAAAATGTGGAACCTGGCGAAAACGACGTCGACGCGGCCCCTCCCCCTGGCCAGCTAAACGAAAGGATAACGTCCAAGCAGTGGCAAAGTCCCTCCGCTCCCAAGCAGCCTGGCAATCTTCCTCCAGTACCCGACGTCGGTGACGTGCGCCCTCCTTGAGCGTCTTGCGGGTCGCCGCGGAAATACGACGCAGCGCGCCCGGGCGAACAATAGCGGCAAGGCTGGACGTGGCGCGACACACGCACGGGATAGACGCCGTGATGACCCAAGGTTGAACGAGCCGAAGACACTGAATAACATCCTGACAACCTGCAGGAACGGGGATAGCGAGGACAGGACGGTGAGCAGCAGTACGGGCAGACCTGCGCTGAACGATCGCTGCTTTCTCAGGTTCTGTGAGATAAGGCTTCTTCCAAGTCGCTGCTGTGTAGTGTGGAGCAGCCGAGCTCAGGATTATGTCGGTCAGCTTCTGGTCAACTTCGTCAGGGCCACTCTCCCGCGCAGCCAAAACGAGCGAGGGCCACTGCTCCTGAATCGTGTTTTCCACCGCCTGGACGAAAGACGTTTTGTGCGTACCTATTTTACACCCCCCCACAAGCGCCTCTTTGTGCCAGAACCGTCGAAGATGGTGCAAAGACCTCGGGATGCCTGTGAACGCCAAGCGCAGGTCGATTTCGCAGCGGACAGGACGGTGATCGCGAGCAACAACATCAGGAATCAATTGTAAGACATCGCCCGCATCATGCCACACATCTGTACTCACCAACTTGGGAAAGACGTCGGAGCTCACAGCGATGAAATCGACGATGCTGGTGCTGCCGTCGGGCCCGAAATACGTCGGCCCGCACTCCCGGAACGTGTTCACCAGACGCATCTCCGAGCCAAGCGCCGAGAGGAGCTGGTGGCCGTTGAAATTGCATTCCGCGGGATTGAAGCCGCCAAACGCAGGATGAACGAGCGGACATCGCACACGAACGTTGTTCAGATCCCGGCCGTACTCCCATCCCAAGTGCCCGTTGGCGTCCAATAGCCAGATCTCCGAAGTGCGGGAAGCCGAGCACACGGTGCGCTGCTTCCCCAACCATTTGAACACCTGCTCCGAGACGTAGCGGCCGTGGTCGGACTTAGGGTTGACAGGGGCGATAGCGACAAGTACGAGAAGGTCGAAATTGCGCCTGCGAATATGGACCCCGCCGCAGCGACCTTGCAAGTGCTTGGGGGGAGTCAACACCTGAGCCCAAGAATCCTTTGGGAAATAGTCGCGCCGGAACAACAGCGTACATCCAGCCGATAAGTTCGTGCAACTGCCCCGAGTAGTGGGAAACTTGAGTCCAACATACGAGGAGGAAGAAGAGGATCCAGTGACCTCGACGAACTCGGTGGAGAGACCAGCGAACCTGTCATGAGTCCCGCACAAGCCGATGATGTGGGCGCCAGCCATCACGTCGCATACTTCCTGGAGGCGGCCATGCTGACGCATGCTGAGACAGTTGTACTGCACAAGAGTCAAAGCCATGGCAGCAAGCGAGCCCACGGGGGGCAAATGGCATGATTAAGGAGGAGGAGGAGGAGGGGGAGGGGGAGGATGAGGAGGAGGAAGAGTGGTTGGAGGACATTGAAGGGCAGTGTGATGGCGATGGTCATGGTGATGGTGACGCCGACGGCGACGACGATGATGATGCTGATGATGATGATGATGCTGATTATGATGATGGTGTCGACGATAATCCTAATGATTGCCATGATGATGACGATGGTGATGATATTGCTGATGCTGATGATGACGATGATGATGCTGATGATGCTGGGGCTGGTGCTGATGCTGATGATGATGTTGCTGCTGATGATGATGGTGATGATGGTGATGATTCCGATCATAAGTGCGACCGGTCGACACGACAATCGGATGGGTCGCAACTGCCTGTTCAAGTGTTTCGGATGGATCGCAACTGCCTTGGAAAGGAGCTCGCTGCATCCAGAAGCACTCTCATGACTTCTCCCTCAGTCGACTCCCTCGGTCGAACCCTCTTGAAGCGCCACCGAAACGTCGCAACCACTTCTGACCGATCTCACCTGGCTGCGATCGGTCCGAAGTGGTCGACGATAGGTCCGAGGTGGTTGCGCTCGGTCGTGCTCCGGGGGGCGGCCTCGGGCCGGAGTGGCCGCCGATGGGGGCCGGGGTGGAGCCAGCGGCCCTCGCGTGGCGGGGCCAGTCCTCCGGCAGGGGTCTCGGCAGCGCCGGACGCCCTCCGCCGCTCGGAGGAAGGAAGAGGTGGCATACACGCCGGTCGTTGAAAGTAGGTATTTTTGGATGCCCAAGCCCTATATCTACTTTCGGCGCCTTCCTACCTTATGCTTTTGCCTACTTCTTTCGACCAGCGTGTTCGCTGACGCCACGGTCCGTGGCGCCCAGCAGCCTGGTCAAGAAGGTACCCATACGGCCACCCTGCCCCGTGTTCGTCTTTTGGGGGCCTCCTGGCTCGGTAGCAAATCGTGGGAACCTGGTCTACCTCTTGATTCGATCCGCGTCGATTAGCGTCCAGAAGTCGATGGAGGTCGCGCCGATTGAGCGTCGGTTCGCGTCGACGAGCGTCGATTCAGCGTCGATTTGGCGTCGAGGGGCGCCGATTGGCACGGGCGGACCAGTTGGTAAACGGGAGGCTCCCGTGAGTTGCCACCGAATCCTGGGAGGGCCTGGTCGCCACCGCGGGATGCGCTTCGGAATCTTGGTCAGAGCGCACCTCCTCCTCCTCCTCCTCCTCCTCCTCCTCCTCCAAGATGAGAAGTGCGGGGAGTAGCGGTCCCCGTGCCTTGTGGTTTCCCCAGCCTCGCCTCTACGATGTGGCCGTGCTTCGGGGTACCTCAGACTTTTTTTTTCGTTTCCCATATTTTGAATTTGGAACCCTTTGCGTGACCTTCGTGTATGTTTGTGTTTCTCTTCGCTTTCTTAAGTGGTGGATGGCAGCGTCCGACCCAAGACTCCGAGGCTTACAGCCGGAAGGAGGAGGAGGAGGAGGAGGAGGAGGAGGAGGAGGAAAAGGAGGAGGAGGAAAAGGAGGGGGTGATGGGGGCTGCTCGCCTCGAAGAGGTGCTGCTTCGACTCCCTGAACTACATGCTGCCGCTGCTCTACCTGGCCTTTTGGGAGATGGACGCCCGCTCGCTCCAGCGGTCGGGAGGGAAACACCGGCACAAGCACCCATCAGCGCAGACCTTCAGGACAGCGCTGGCAAGTACGGGAAAGGGAGGGGAGGAGAAGCATCCACAACATCTGGGAAAACATGAGACATCCGGCAACGTTTGCCTGTTGTTGAGTCGGGCGTGTCCCCCTACAGGAGGAATATTCAAGACTAGCAAAAAAAAAAATAGCCAGGGGACGATTTTTGTCACCATGCTTGAGCATCTGTTCGATCTTCGTTGGGCATCTTTGATTCTTCGTCCACGGATCCGCCTGTAGGAGCACAGGCCCGACTCCAGCCTGTGGCTTCCCCTGTGCCCCCCAGCCCCTCCCGCGGAGGGCCCTGTGGTCGCTGCTGGCCACCGACTGCGCCCGGCGGCTCGCGACGGAGCTGGCGGTGCCGCTGCTGCTGGCCGGCGGTAGGTCCCTGCTGTCGGCAGCCACGCGCCGGCGCCCGCCCGCCCCGTCGGGCCTCCAGGACCCCGTCCTGCGGCTCCAAGGGGGGAACTTCAAGGGAGAGGGACTCCTGAGACGGGCGGTGCCGGCGCTTCCCAAAAGTCCGCCCGGCTTCGCCCACGAGGTCGCCGCACGGCGCTCTCACTCGCACTTGCCGGAGTCTCAGAAGGCACGCCGCGGTCTCAGAAGTCCCTCTCGCTGGCGCGTATCGCCCTGGCCTCCCAGCGCATCTCGAGGTTGGAGCCGTCTGGGGATCCGAGGTGGCCCAGTGCTGGTTCCGGCCACCAGGGCAGGGGGAGGGGAGATGGAACTCGAGGTTCTGGGTTCGACCCGTTCTTCTGCCTTGTCAGCCACGCGAAGAGGGGGGCGGGGGGAGGGGGGAGGGCTTCTTAGAAGGCGCGGGCCTCGTATGTAGAGGTAAGGCCGGCGCCTTTTAAGAAGCAGCCCATCTAAGACGCCCTCCCCCCGTCCCTCCGCCCCCCTTGGGCGCGCCGCCAACCTTGTTCGGCGTCCGGGCGCGGTGGTCGGGCCCCGGGGCCGTCCGAAACGGATCCGGGGCGAAAAACTGCGCCAGATGGACCCCAGGAGAGGGCCAGGGACAGATTCTGAGCGGGTTTGGCCTCGTCCCCACCTCCTGTTCCACTTGCTGCGGTGCCAAGCAGTTCAGACCCTCCAGCCGCCCCCCAAGTCGGCGGCGAGAAGCACGGGAGCCGTGACCAAGATGTCGCGGGATCTTGTCGATGTTGATTTTGGTCATGGTCCACGTCGGCCGTCGCCGATCCGGGAGGACGGTCCAGGAATTGACGGTGACCAGGATCGGTGGGGTGACCGAGATCGACGCGACGTTTTCATTCGCGTTCGGTCTAGGACGCGGTCCAAGTTTTTTGTTCCCCGTCAATATTGGCAAAGTCGAGACGGAGTTTTTCTAACCTGACATCTCTCGCGTCGCGAACAAAGAACGCGTGACGGGTGGCTTTTTTTTCTCAGCCTTCTGCCTCCGGGGGCCTCTTCGCGGGCCCCTGGGACCCTGAAACATCGACGCGGGATGACAAGTGGGTCCTGGGGAAGGGGTCGGGACTTCTTCTTGGCATCGCTCGGACGTGTGCATTTTTCCTCGGCGAGAACCACCGAGGACCATCCTGGACCATCGAGCAAGAACACACGCGCGAAACCGAAACATGCACGGGAAATGGACGTCCGAGCGACGGCCAGTCCTGGGGTCGGGACTTCCTGGGAAGGCGTCAGGCCATCGCATGTCTGGGCCCCCCTCTTCCTCCTCTCCAGCTCCTCCTCCTGCTGCCTGCACGAGGTCCGCCCGGGTCCCCCGGGGTCGAGATTTCCGGGGGGGCTCGCAGTGGACAGGTCACGACGCCGGATCTCTGGGACGAGGGGTGCCGACCTGTGCGCCGGTACCGATATTGGCCGGGCCTCGTGGGCCCAGGATCGGTGTACCCTGGGACCATGGCCTGGATTTTTTTTCACAGCGGGAGATTCTGCCTTGTTTCGGGCCCCTTGGCATCGCTCGGACGTGTGCATTTTTCCTCCGGCGAGGGCCATCGAGGAGCATCCTTGATCATTTGGCGAAAAAGCCACGCACGAAACCGACAAAAAAAACACAGGAAATGGACGTCCGAGCGATGGCGAGGCCCTGGGACCCTCACGGATCGATCCGGCCCGAGACATGCAGCAGGAAGATGAGGTCTTAGATTCTCGTCGAGGTTTTTGCTCGAGGCCTCCTGGGTGGGGTCCGAGCATCGGGAGCGGAACAGAGGGGGGGTGATGACTAGGTAAGAATGGATCTCATGGCGCGGGCCATGATTTTTCCTTAGATTTCATGGCGCTTCTTCTTATTTTATTACGTCCCAGGCCCCCCCGCTGGGCCGCGCACATGCCGCCGGTCATGATTTGCAACCCCCCCTCTTGGACACCCCCCTCTTGGCCGCTCCCGAGAGTAGATGGGGTCAGAGGATCGCGCCGCGTCGCCAGTGCATCGACGATGCGGCTCGATCCGGCCCGAAGCATGCAGCATGAAGATGAGGTCTTAGGCTCCAGTCGAGGTTTTTGCTCGAGGCCTCCTGGGTGGGGTCCGAGCCGCGTCGCCAGTGCATCGACGATGCGGCTCGATGCGGAGCTCGTGTTCCCCCCCCCCACACCGACGTCGCCGATGCATCGCCGACTTCCCCATGCACCTCGGCGATGTGGCGTGATCCTTCGAGCCCATCTGCTCCGACCCCATCTAGGAGGTCTCTGCTTGCTGCGCTGTTGCATTTGTTTCGTGACGTCTGACTGTCAGGGCACCGAAAGAACAAACAACAGGATAGCCAGAACTGCTCGAAGCTCAGGGCGGATCTCTTAGATCAACGCTGGGTCCCCCTGCCGGCTCCTCTGGCGCCAACCCTGGCGCGCTCCGCCCGCCAGGGAAGAGGGGGGTCCAGCGCAGATCCCAGAAGTCAAGCAGTGGCGACGCGTCCTGGCTCGCCTATAGCGTTACCAAGCAATGTTCTAAGAACCTTTTGTGGTTTCCACGAAATGTTCTTAGAACACTTCAGGCTGGGACTGTCTCGTTTTACCGCGTCGGGTTTCTGTTCTGAGAACATTGTTTTTTTGTTCTTAGAACGTTTTCGGGTTCTAAGAACATTTCGTGGTATGACTATAGGAATGCCGGGACGGTCGGTCCCTGCTCAAGGTCCAGCGCAGATCCCAGAAGACCGCGCGGAGTCTGTGCATGCCTGTACTACTCATGAGCTTGCAACTCGCACCCACACCCACAGTGGGGGCGCGCATCGAGAGGCCATCGGCTTTGCGTCAGTGCATCCTGGGCTTCTTCGCTCCGCGGGCTGCGCTGTGACTCCCCGCAGCCGTTGAAGAAGCGGCTGCGTTCAGGGTGCTCTGGGTTTCCCCTGAGGTGCACCTCGCGCGCGGGTTGGAAGGGTTGGGTTTCTGGCGAGGGTCTCTTGTGGCCGCTCCCCTTACATTTCTCGGACTGGAAGTCCGAGGGGGCTATGTGTGTGTGTTGTCGGATGGGGTCCCCCGCTCGAGCGGGAGTCCTCTCGGGGCTCGACAGCTCCCACCCAGAACTATCGCGCCTTCTTCGCCTTGCCCTTCCCCGTTTCTCCGTCCCCGTTGGTTTGAGCGTGTGTTGCTCGTGCGTCAGGTCCTTGCCAGGGCCGCTCGATCATGGAAGTTGTTTCTATCATCATGGTGGATCCTGGAACGGCGATCACGGATGCTTGGATGTACATCATATTTTGTGCACCATCTCGCATATGATATTCGTGGACAGGAGGATTGCCCGCCGGTCGTTGGAAGTAGCTCTCTCTGAGCTCCCACTTCCCAATCTACTTCAAGCGCCTTCTTACCTCAATGATCGATGTGTTTTGGTTGTTGCTTGCTGTTCTCTGGGCGGGCCCGAGCCCAGTCTACTTGATCCGCCTCACTGCTTCATGCTTCTGCCTACTTCTTCCAGCCGAAGGGGTAGTTCTTACCCTTGCGATCTGGCGTTCCCTTCCACGATCGCGCGGACCCTTCTACGTCATGACCCCAACATGCTGATACTATGTGTGCGTCGCACCCCCAGGGGCGAGGCGCGCACCGAGAAATCTCATAGTATGTGCCTCGTGGCGGGCGCTTTCTGGCCACACCGCTCGGGAAACGATCTACTTACTACAAGATGGGCACACAATGATCGGGTCGGACGCGCGCCTCCAAGGAGCACATGTAGCACCCGTATGTCGTTGCGCGTCCCATGTCGGGCGTGCACCGGTCTGGACGCCCGAAATGGGTACGGAAAGAATGGGTACGATGCCCAACAGCAGTTCCTGTTCATTTTGAACAGGACTCGCTGTCCACGCCGCCGCGGCCTGTGTCCATTCGAGACAGAAGGCCGCCTGCCCAACAGCGGCCGCTGTTGGCTTGGTACAACATTTGTTGTTGGGCATAGTGCCCATTCTTTCCGTACCCATTTCGGGCGTCCAAAACCGGTCAGCGGTCGCCTGCGTGCGGCCGTGCCGTGGGCGCCCTGCTGCCAGGAGCCGCTCCTGCCGGCCGCGCGCGCGGGCTCGGCGCAGCAGCGCGTCTGGCAGGAGCGCCGGCGGCGCACGGGGCCTCGCGGCGCGGGGGGAGGGGTGGGGCCCGGCCTGGGAATCGGAGGCCAACACAATTCAATCACGGGCGCGACAAGGATGCATCGGGGGCGGAAAAGAGGGGGTGATGACTAGGGGGGGGTGGATATCATGGCGGGGGCCATGATTTTTCCCCCGATTTCATGGCGCCTCTTCTTATTTCATTACGTCCCTGGCCCCCCCGCTGGGCCGCGCACATGCCGCCGGTCATGATTTGCACCCCCCCTTCTTTGACGCCCCCCTCTTTGCCGCTTCCGACTCATGTCGAAGCTTCTCGCGCGTGGAGGGGCCGACGAACGTGGCCAAGGGCGGTCCGAGGAGGCAAGGATGCGAGGGTATCCTTGGGAAGGTTGCCCATTCTTGCTGCGTGGGTCGGCTGGATCGGACCGAGGTCTAAGATCGGGGTTGCTTTTGGGGAGGGTACCCTGATGTGCTTCGTGCTTGTTGGATGTTTTCGTGCATCCTGGGGGAGGGCACCGTGGAGTGATTCTATGGTTTGGGGCGTTTTGGCCGGCGGAGGGTCTCATGTTCTTGAAGGATGTCCTTCTGTTCTAGGTCTGACCGTACTCGGGTAATACGAGGAGCGGCAACGGAATTGCTCTATCCCGAATCGTCTATTTCGTAGAATCCAGGACAATGTGCGGGTATCAACGGACAGTTTACGCATGTCTTGTAGATTCGACGAGGAGACGAGTTTGGGTAAATCAAGTGTGTATGCGATTCTATATTCAAATTAATAACACCCCGCAACTGCGGATAAGCGTGATGGGGCGGCGGAGTCTTCGGCAGTCTGCGAGGCTTTGAAGAAGCCCGACACAGGCGCCGATTTTCTCCAAACAGTGCTTGCTGTCTGGCGCTCCGTGCTCGCCGTCACCGCCCCGTCGCTGCCTCGTCGACGCCCGTCGTTTGGGCCTGTCTGGCGGTCTGGCGGCTCCATGCTCGCCGTCGCCGCCCCGTCGCCGCCTCGCCGCCGCCCAACGATTGCACCGCACACGTTGCACAACATACATTCTCCTTTTTAAAAGGAATAAGGATGTACCACGCCCCAGGGATTATCCCCCCCCCGCCCGAGGATGCACATTTTACGCAGGAGTCTGCCACATCGTTTATTCGAAGTATGAGTTTGTACCATCCCAGCCCAGCCAATCTCGACACCCCCTGCCACTTTGCACGAAAGTACTAAGCACGCACACTCGTGTATCACAAATGATCAAATCTCAATATTTTTGGCACAAGTGGGACGAAGTGCACACGCGCGCGTCGTCGCGCGCAGGCCGATTCAAACATTTCAGGTATCGTAAGAAATTCAAAATCGAGAATTCCGACATTTCTAAACAACACATGGCTTGGAAACGTTTCCAAGACATGGTTTGCGCGCGCCTATACACTCTCTCGGTTTCAACATTATCGTGATATGTGACCGCACGGGCCTCTCGCGCGCGCATGCTAGAAACATTCGATCGCCTTTGCGCGCGTGTTGGGGGGCACGATCTATGTCAAATCGTACCACGGTGGTCATTCGCGCCCGCCGGCCGCGCGCGCATGTCGAATTCGTTCCAGAACCTTCACCGACGCGTGGACACCATCATCGCCATCGGCGTGATCAGCTTCGGCGCCGTCATGTGGCTTCTCATCGTCATCGTCATCGTCGTCAGTAACATTGCTGCATTCATCATCGTGTCTGGCGTTGTCGACGTCCCCATGATACCGCACCCGCCTGGGTCACCGACGCGCATTGACGCGCTCGCGCGTCAGCGCCGCTTGTGAGACGCGCGGGGAAGCCCCTAGCGGTGAGCGCCACTCTGGCCGTGCCCGTCGCGCCAGACCAGCTGGCCGATTTGCGCGCGAACCTACGCGCGCGCAAACGCGGCCGCAGCGATTAGCCAGCCAGCGCCAGGCGAGCATCACAATTGCTGCCTCATGGGCTTTTGCAGACCCCGTTGCGGGTGGGTTGGTGGGATGATTATGCGAGCAGTGGGCTGGACATCTCATGTCGAAGGGAATTTTAACTCTCCTTTCTAAAAGAATAATCGGCTCTACCCCTCCGGAAGTAAGGATACACCATTTTCGGATTGCAATATACATATGATTCTGGCGCATCGTCTATCGTACATATGAACGCGTACGCTCCCAGCCAAACCGGTATCTTTTCCCCCCGCCATCCTCTGCAACAAATACTATGCGCGCACTCTCGTTCATCAAAGATCATCAGTTTTCAAGAACCCCTTTGCAAAAATAGGACGAAGTGCGAACGCGCGCGTCCTGGCGCGCGCATGCCGAAATCCTTCCAAAACTTTCGACGTCGGAAGGATTTCAAAACCGAGTTCCCCCCAAACATACAACAACACATGTTTTCGCAACACTGATTTGCTAATTTACGCGCGCGTTCTTGCGAAATGTTAAGATAACCTTGGTTTTTCAATAGTTTCAACAAGTACTACCAAACGGGCTGCGCGCGCATGTCGAAGTCTTTCGAACACCCTTGCGCTCGTGTCGTCGCGAGAGTCCTCTGCAACAAATGGGACGAACTGCAGACGCGCGCGTCCTCGCGCGCGCAAGCCGGAATCATTCAAAAACCATCGGTTTCGAAAGGATTTCAAAACCGTGTGCCCAAAAAAACATACCGAAACACAGACTTTCGCCACCCGGATTTTCAACAAAAGTGTGCGCGCGCGCTCTTGCGTTGTCGTCATCGTCGCCGTCCTCCCTCCTCTCCCGTCGTCGTCGTCGTCGTCACCGTCGTCGTCGTCGTCTGTCTTTCCTCGTCGTCGTCGTCGTCTTGGCGTCGGCGTCGTCGTTTCCGTCGTCGTTGTCGTCGTGGTCGTCCTTCCTCCCTCGTCGTCTTCGTCGGCGTTTCGTCGTTGTCCCTTCTATTTCGTCGCCGTCGTCGTCGTCGTCGTCGGTGTCGTCGTCGTCGTCTTCTCTTCTCCCTCGTCGTTGTCGTCGTCGGCGTCGCCGTCCTCCCTCCTTCGTCATTCGCGTCGTCGCCGTCCTCCCTCCTCCCTCGTCGTTGTCATCGTTGCCGCCGTCGTGGTCCTCCCTCCTTCCTCGTCGTTGTCGTCTTGGTTGGCGACGTCGTCGTCGTCGTCGTCGTTTTCGTCGTCGTCGTCGTTGTCGTCGGCGTCGTCGTCGTCGGCGTCGGCGTCGTCGTCGTCGTCGTTGTCGTCGTCGTCGTCGTCGTCGTCGGCGTCGGCGTCGTCGTCATCGTCGGTGTCGTCGTCGTCGTCGTCGTCGTCGTCGTTGTCTGCGTCGTCGAAGTCGTTGGAGACGTCGTCGGTGTCATCGTAGGCGTTGTCGGCGGCGTCGTCGTCGTCGTCGTTGTCGTTGTCGTCGTCGGCGTCTGTGTCGTTGCTAAATGCCATTTGGTACCAACGCTCACGGTCTTAAGAGGTTTTGCAAACCAAGTTGCGGGTGGGTGGGTGGGATGTTTGCGCGAGCAGTGGAGTGGACAACGCATTGCGAACAGAACTTGATTGCACCGCATATATTGCACCACGTGGATTGCACCACGTAGATTGCACACCATCTAGTGGACAACATTGGTTGCACCTCATCGATTGCACCATATCAGTTGCACACCGTTGATCCTCCTCCCTAAAAAGAAAATAGACTCTACCCCCGCCCCCCGGAGTTAACGGGTCACCTTTTCGTATCGCAATTTACATATGATTCTGCTCCATCGTCCTTCTAAATATGGAATCATTTTATCCCAACCAGGCCTGTATCACTCCCCCCGCCATCCTTCGCCTACAAACACTACCGCGCGCGCACTCGTTTAGCAGAACTCATCAGTTTTCAAACATCCCTTGCAACAAATGGGACGAAGTGCGCACGCGCGCGTCGTCGCGCGCGCAAGCTGGAATCATTCAAAAACCTTTGGTTTCGAAAGGATTTCAAAACCGTGTGCCCAGAAAACATACCGAACACACACAGTTTCGCCACCCGGATTTTCAACAAAAGCGTGCGCGCGCGCATTCTTGCGTCGTCGTCGTCGTCGTCGCCGTCCTCCCTCCTCCCTCGTCGTCGTCGCAGTCGTCGTCCTCTGTCATTCCTCGTGTTCGTCGTCGTCGTCCTCTTCGGCGTCGTGGTTGTTTCCGTCGTCGTTGTCGCCGTAGTCGTCCTTCTTCCTCCTTCCTCGTCGTCGTCGTCGTCCGTCGTCGGCGTCTCGTCGTCGTCCCTTCTATTTCGTCGCCGTCGTCGTCGTCGTCGTCGTCGTCGTCGTCGTCTTCCCTCCTCCCTTGTCGTTGTCGCCGTCGGCGTCGCCGTCCTTCCTCCTTCTTCGTCGTTCGCGTCGTCGCCGTCCTCCCTCCTCCCTCGTCGTTGTCGTTGTCGCCGTCGTCGTCCTCCCTCCTCCCTCGTCGTCGTTGTCTTCGTTGGCGACGTCGTCGTCGTCGTCGTCGGCGTCGGCGTCGTCATCCTCGTCGTCGTCGTCGTCCTCGTCGTCGTCCTCGTCGTCGGCGTCGTCGACATCGTCGTCGTCGTCGGCGTCGTCGTCGTCGGCGTCGTCATCGTCGTCGTCGTCGGCGTCGGCGTCGTCGTCATCGTCGGTGTCGTCGTCGTCGTCGTCGTCGTCACTGGTGTCGTCGTTGTCGTGGTCGTCGTCTCGTTGTCGTCGTCGTCGTCGAAGTCGTCGGAAACGTTGGCGGTGTCGTCGTAGTCGTTGTCGTCGGTGTCGTCGCTGTCGGTCTTAAGAGGTTTTGCAAACTAAGTTGCCGGTGGGTGGTTTGGATGTTTGCAAGAGCATGGGATGTGTCAACTCATGGGTGAAAATCAATTGCACCACGTAGGTTCTTTTTTTGAAAGAAGAATAGACTCTACGCCCCCCAGAGTTAACAGTTCCCCTTGTCGTACTGCAATTTACATATGATTCTGCCCCATCGTCCATCCTGAATATGAATACGTACTATCCCGGCGAGGCCTGTATCACTCCCCCCGCCATCCTCTGCAACAACTAGTATGCGCGCACTCTCGTTTATCAGAAATCATAAATTTTCAAGAATCCCTTGCAACAAATGGGACGAAGTGCACGCGCGCGCGTCGTCGCGCGCGTCGACGTCGTCGTCGTCGTCTTCGGTGTCGTCGTCATTGTCGTCGCCGTCGAAGTCGTCGGAGTCGTCGTCGGTGTCGTCGTTGTCGTGGTCGGCGTCGTCGTCGTTGTCGCTGCCGTCGTCGGCGTCGGTGTCGTTGCCAAGTGCCATTCGGTACCCACCGTCACGGTCTTAAGAGGTCTTGCGACCAAGTTGCGGGTGAGAGTGTGGGATGTTTGCACGAGCAGTGGAGAGGACAGCTTCAAGACAGTCAAAGTGAGCTGCACCACGTAGACTGCACCACACAGAAGATTGCACGACGCATGCTGCACAATAGAGTCTGCACCACACATGTTGTACAGCGTTTACACACGCACACACATATATATATATATATATATATATATATTTTCTCAAATCAGTGCTTGAACTGAAAAGGTGCTAGCCGAACTTGAAGGATTTGGCGAAAGTGGGCGGCTGATTTCGGTGGGCCGCCGGGTTCCGGGGTTTTGGTTCCGGATTCTCGGGCCCCCGGTTGATGGTTCCGGGCCGATTTCGGTGAGCGGCGGGGTTTATCGGATTTGCGGGTTCCTGGGTTCTTGGTCGATCTTTTTACCGATCGGTTTGACCCCATCATTCCCATTATCCTTTTCTCTATCGATCGCACTATCGATTTCGCAGTCGATCTCCATATCGATATCACAATCGACCTCACTATATGGATCGCACGAGCGATCGAACAATCGATTTTATTTTCCATCTCATTGAATCGACTTCACTCTCGATTTCATGATCGACCATACTATTGTTCTCGCGATCGTTTCCACGATCGATCTCATTACCGATCTCACAATCGATCTTGATATCCATAGCACGAAGTGTTAGACCATCCGCTCATGTCCTTTGGTATAATATGTTCTCCAATCAGTGCTTGCACTGAAGGGGTCCTAGCGGATGTTGAAGGATTTGGCGAAAGTTCCCCGCCGATTGTGGTGGCAGGCTGGGTTCCCGGGTTCCCAGGTTCCCAGTTCCCGGTTCCCAGGTTCCCAGGTTCCCTGTTCGGGGCCGATTTCGGAGGGCGGCGAGGTTCCCGGGTTCCCGGGTTCTTGGTCGATCTTCTCATCGATCGGTCTCACCATCGATCTCATGGCCGGCTTCTCGATCGATCCCACCATCGATCTCACAATCGATCTCACTATCAATCTCACAAGCGATCTCACTAGAGATCGCATGAGCGATCTCGCGATCGATCTCATTGAATCGTTTTCACTCTCGGTCTAACGATCGACCTTACAATCGTCCTCATTATCGATTCCACTATCGATCTCATCATCGATCTCACAACCGATCTCAAGATCCATAGTATCAATTTTCAAATCATCCACTGATTGGGTTTTCTCAGGTGTACTATTATATATAGATATGTATATATATATATATATATAGATACAGATATCTACATTCCCAAGTCAGCACTTGCACTGAAGGGGTCTTAGGGTATTGAAGGATAAGGCGATCGTGGGCGGCCGATTTCGGTGGGCCGCTGGGTTCCTGGGTTCTTGGTTCCAGGTTCGCGGGTTCCCAGTTGCTGGTTCCAGGCCGTTCTCGGTGGGCGGCGGGGTTCCCGGGTTTGCGGGTTCCTGGGGTTGTGGTCGATTTTTCAACCGATCGGTTTCACCGTATCGATCCCACTACCCACTTGTCTATTGGTCTCATTATCGATCGATCAGTCGAGATTGTTACAGATTGCACGTGCGATCTCACGATCGATTTCACTATCGATCTCACCGAAGCGACTTCACAACCGGTCTCACAATCGTTTTTGCTATCGTCCTCACTATCGATCCCCACGATCGATATCACTATCGATTTCACAATCGGTCTCAATATCCATAGCACGACTTGTTAAACCATCCACTGATCGGGGTTCTTCCCAGGTGTAATATAGCGGTGTATGAATAGAGTGCACCACGTAGATTGCATCACATGGACGGCGCCACATAAATTGCACAGCGTGGGTTGCATTTCATGTATTGCTCACACATCTTCAGCCCGTCCACATGTCTTACATATTGCACAACGAACCCGCCGCAGGCGCCGACTTGAAGTCAAAGCACTGTGGGTGGTTTGTGGGTGGTTTGCGGGTTTGTCGCAGGGTGGGTCGCGGGGTGGGTCGCCGGGTGGGTTGTCCCAGGAGGTGTCTCGGTTGTGTCGCGGCTGAGGACAACGACACAAACGCAGCAACTCAACGCAGCAACGCAACAACGAGCCGCACCGCGAAACGCCACTCCAGCCACGCACGCAGGGACAGTGCATGACCGTTCGGCCCCCTCACTCCGATCATGTGTTTCTTTCTGACCAGTTGCGAACCCCACCGCTGTTGATCCAGTCGGCCAGGGTGGGTATCGGGCACCTCCGCTGGGGCTCACGTGGCTGCAGACGTTCTTCGGATGCTGTACCCCAGTCGGCGTTTCTCAGAAATCTGACCTGTAGGGAGTAGCGTTCACATGTGGTGACCTACTTTCGGAAGTCCGCACGGGTTTCTTGGGTAAGCGCGCTCCGCAGGCCACGGTAGGAGGGGTCCAGCATCGACCCAAGAAAGCCGCGCATAATTCTGGCAACCTGTGTTTGTGACCCTGCGGACTGTTCTGCGGAAGCGGCGGGGGTGCTCGAGACAGTTTTGTTCTCCCGTTGCGATGACAAGCGCGACCGCGGGGGGTGGGGGAAGGGGGATTGGGGGCCAGGCACGCCACGGCGCCGGCTCCGCCTGGGAATGTGTAAGAGTGGCCAGCTCCCGGGCGGCGCTTGCGCCAGTTGCTCCTCGTGACGTGACCCAGGGGGGAATGTCATGGGCGGGGGCAGGGCAGGGCCCGTCACGGTCGCTGTCGCGAAGCATGGAAACGCGGGCGCCTCCTGAGAAGGCAGGGGTGCTCGGCATCGCTCGGACGTGTGCATTTTTCCTTCGGCGAGGACCATCGAGGAGCATCCTTGATCATGTGTGGCGAAAATCACCACGCGCGAAACCGAAACAAACACAGGGAATGGACGTCCGAGCGATGGCCGGGGGTGGCTTCCCTCGCGGCTTTCAATCAGGCCCTCTCCATGAAGCTCCCCGGCCCCCATTCGGGAAGGCCGCCCCCCCGCCGCCGCCCTCTAAGAAGGTCGCCCCCCCCCCCTCTTGCGCCGCCCCGTCGCGACGAACTGACGAAGACACGCCCGCACTCGTATTGAGCAGGGGGATGGGAGGCTAGGGGCGCGTGTCGTCGGCTGGGTGTCCCCGCTCGAACGGCGGCCTGCCCCGGGGTCCGACTACCGTGGGGGGCCATGCCAAGAAGCGCCCTGCTTGCCTCCACGGTGCTCTGGGTTTCTTGGGTTTCGATGGTTCTGCTCTGGGAAGCGTAATGCTCCCACACCAAAAACCAGTGGACGTCCTGGGGTTTCAGGGTTGGGTTTCTAGTGGAAGGTCTCTTGTGGTTGGGCCCCCAATTGCCGTACCTGCGCCCATACCCATGGCCAGTCCTCTTCCCTCCGACCCCCCCGTGGGAATGGGCCGTGTGTGGTTCGTGCGTCACCTCGGGCGGGTGCCGCCGCCAGGAGCTGCTGCTGGAGAGGTGCCACCGGGGCGCGAGCCAAGCGGTACTTTGGCGATCTCGTGCGCCGTTTCCGCGTTGGCATTCGTTGCGCAGCCGAGTCGGAACGAAGGCAGAGCGAGAACGGACAATTCGGTTTACCCAGGCCCCCGGCGTCGTGATTTTTTCGTAGCGTCGACCCCATCGAGGTCTCGACCTTGTCTCTGGGACAGGTTCCTCCTCTTGAGTCGTTGGTTGACGGTCCGGAGGCCCTGCAAGGGCCGGGCCCGAGCAGGCCGACCAGTGTCGAACATTCCGGTCGCGATGTTTGCACGACTCGAGTGGGTCGGGGCAGCTCGCGCCCCGAGAGGTACAACGCCTACGACGACTACTCGGAGATGATGGTCGAGTTTGCGGTCGCTGGTATCGTTCAACCGATCCCTATCCCCGTCTCCATCCCCACCCCGATCCCGAACCGTCCCACCACCCTCCCTCCCTCCCTCCCTCCCTCCCTCCCTCCCTCCCTCCTCCCTCCCTCCCTCCTCCCTCCTCCTCCTCCTCCTCCTCCTCCTCCTCCCTCCTCCTCCTCCTCCTCCTCCTCCTCCTCCTCCTCCTCCTTCCCCTCGAAGCTCGGAGGGCACGGCCTGCATCCCCGTCTCGGGGGGCAAATCGGCCGGTGGGACCAAGGCCACGCCAGTGAGGATAGGGATCGGTTAATGCAGGATTCGGGTTCAGCAATTACGGTAGGTTTGCGTCGTGTCGACCAGCGGCGACCCCAGCGCGGGCGTTCAAGGTTGAACGCCGCCTGCGACCCAGAATCGATCGATGTTGAACGATCGGACGTTGCGGCAGCGGCCGATCGTTCAAGGTTGAACGATCCCTGCGGTGTCAAAAACCAACGCTGGGGTCGGCACGACACGAACCTGCCGTACCGGGGTTCATGTTCACGCGGCGGCGCCCAGGGTAATAATTAGAACAGCGGGTCCCCGGTTGGAAAACGTTTCTTTGGATCAGCCCCACCCTCCCTCCTCGGGCGCGCACCTGGACAGTCGACGGGCCAGACGGAGCCGAAGCGAAGCGGCAGCCGAGGGTTCGGAAACTAGCTTGCTGTCTGTTCCCCTCGCATCCTTGTGTTACTCCCCATCTCACGTTAAGCGATGCTCAGGTCGTCTCCCTCTTCGCCGCGGTCTGCCCCGTCGCCGCGGCGCTGTCGCTGGCCTGCAATCCCTGGCCGGCCGAGGTCGCTAAGGGGGCATGCCCAGGGCCCCGGGGGCCGCCGACGCGGGGGTTTTCGAGAGCCTTGAGACGGGGGTTCGTGCACACGGGGGTCAGCCAGAGCGCCAGATCTTGCAGGGTTCTCCTGCAGAGCCAGGGCTGCATTGGACCCGGCTTGCGCGCAGGATCCCGCAGGATCCTGCAGGTTCTTGCAAAGGCTGACTGACCCAGGTTTGCGTTGACCCGGGTCAGTGCGTCCCCGAGGTCTCGGAGAGAAGGTGGCAGGTCAGGAGCGATAGAAGGACGTGCGCGCACATGAATCCACGTTTGTTTCGAAAGTGCGCATGGCGCGAACGTTCGTATCACGAGGCTGGTCTCGCGGACTGGGGGGCATGTACGCGGTTGGGCGCGTATGTCCTCTGTGGGCTCCCTCGCAGGGACAGGCGGATTCGAATCTCAGAGGAGAAAGAGGTACCGATACCGCTGCCCCTGCTTCGTTCTTCGATTTTTGTTGCCCTCGTGGGAAGACCTCGTTGCCGCCGCGACCGCGGGATTCGCCTTGGAATTCTGGTCAGAACGCCCCTTGGAAGAGTTCTGGTGAGCAGCGATACGGGCACCTCTTCTTGGCATCGCGCGGACGTGTACATTCTTCCGTCGGCGAGGACCATCGAGGAGCATTCTTGATCATTTGGCGAAACATCCACGCTCGAAACTGAAAAAAACACAGGGAATGGACGTCCGAGCGATGGCGAGTCTTGGTTTCCCCAGACTCGGTACATCGGATCGCATCGGAATCTGCCTCGGATCGGGCCGCGTCGGCACGGAGCCCAAGTCGAGTCGGATCGCTCGCGCCAGGAGGCAGAGCAGCGCCACGCAGGCAGCGGGCGGAGTCGGACCGACGGAATCTCGGATCCGCACGGGGTCGAGCCAGCCAGAGCGGAGATCGAATCGGATGGATCGGAGGAGGAGGAGGAGGAGGAGGAGGAGAAGGAGGAGGAGGAGGAGGAGGAGGTGAGGAGGCCTCTGGAAAGAGGAGGCCGCGCGGCACACGCCCTGCCCGCGCAGGGGGCGTCCCGCCCCCGGTCCGCGACGGACCCCCCAACAAAATCGGGCCGCCGAGGGGCGAAGGGACACCATGGGGGTGCACCCCCAATGGGGCTGTTCGGACGCCCCCGCCCGGAGAGGAACGCCCTGCCCCTCCTCCTCCTCCTCCTCCTCCTCCTCCTCCTCCTCCTCTCCTCCTCCCTCCTCCTCCTCCTCCCTCTCCTCTCCTCCTCCTCTTTCCTCCCTCCTTCCTCCTCCTCCTCCTCCTCCTCCTCCTCCTCCTCCTCCTCCCTCCTCCTCCTCCTCCTCCTCCTCCGCCTCCTCCTCCTCCCTCCTCCTTCCTCCTCCTCCTCCTCCTCCTCCTCCTCCTCCTCCTCCCTCCTCCTCCTTCCTCCTCCTCCTCCTCCTCTTCCTCCTCCCTCCTCCTCCTCCGCCTCCTCCTCCTCCTCCTCCTCCTCCTCCTCCCCGAGTTGGGCTCCAATGTTCGGTCCAGTCGGAGAAGCCACAAAGTGGGCGATCGAGGTCGCCACAGCAGCTGTCATGCCTGCCCCCTGGGCCAGGGTGGCCGACGAGGGGGTCTCGCAGAAGGAGGAGGTCGCAGGGCACAGCTGGCACGAGGGTCGAGAACGACCTGAGCCCTCGAGGGGTTCCTCAGGTTCTTCGTGCTCGGGTTCTCCGCCCGGGGGTGTTCTTCGTTTTAATCCATAGGGTCTTGGGCCTTCTGCGAGAGGGCTCGCGTTCTTGGCCCACGCGTGCTTGTGGCCATGTCTCGACCGTGCACGTCCTGTGTTTGATGCGCAGCGCTTGGCGCGTGGTGGGAGTCAGGAGCCTATGACATCGGCTCCGATAACCGGTCTCCTGGCCCCTTCCTTCCTCGCCCGCATTCATCAGCCACGCAGACAGGTCACCGGGGGAGTGGGATCAGCGGAGGGCGAGTGAAGAAGAGTGGGGGGGGGAGTGGGAGGCACAAAGGGGTCTCAGTGCCGGAGCGTCTGGGGCATGGTGCGGAGAAGGACCTCCTCTGCCCCCCACCTTGCAGGTCGCAGCGACCCCCCCCCCCGCCCCCCTGGACCGCGCCCCCGCGGGCGGCGCTCCTGGCAGAGGAGCCGGAGGGGAGGGCCGCCCTGTGGCCGCGCCCCCTGGGGGCCTCGGTCGACCGGCGATCTCGTGGAGATGTGGTCCGACCGCGCCAAGCTGCGCCGCGTCTGCCGGCGGCCGACTCCTGCCGCCGCGTCCGGCATCGGAGACGGGGGCTCCGTGACAGTCGGACCGGACGAAAGGGGGGGATTGGGAAAGGGGGGGTTACGAAATTTGCTGCATGCAGCTGGTTTCGGCCTTACCGAGGGGCCCATTCCTCGATACACAGTCGCCTCCCGGCGCCGGGAGGCGCCGGGAAAATCAGCTACGTGAGCTGATTCTCAACCCCCCCTTGCTATCCCCCCCTTTCGCCCGACCCGTGACAACAAGATCCGATGGTCCTCTGGGCGTGTGCTTCTAGGCCTCCCAGATGTACGTCGGGCACGCCCCTCTGCAGGAGGAGTTTTCAAACATAGTGCAAGCACAGTCTGTGGACGATGGGGCAATTATGTTTGACAATGATTGACTATTTCTTGTCGGTTTTGAATTTTTCTTCCAACATTCGCCCGTAGGGGGACATGCCCGACCTAATTTTATATGGGGTCGTAGTAGATGGGGTCGGAGGATCGCGCCGCGTCGCCGACGCATCGTCGATGCGGCTCGATGTGGCGCCCGATGTGCTTCACGTCGACGTCGCCGATACATCGCCGACGGCGCCAGTGCATCGCCGATGCATTGCCGGTGTATCGCCGATGTATCGGCGATGCGGCGAGATCCTCCGACCCCATCTACTCGGACCCCCTTTAGGAAGCCTTTTATTGTGTGTGTGTGTTTGCTTCGACCAGCTCAACCGACAGCACTCAGCCTGTGTCGGACCTCACTACGCCGCCTGGGTTCCATCGGAGGGCTTCTGTGGGCGAGTTCACGTTGACGCCAACACACCTTCTGAGGATCATCGAACGACGCTTGCCCGACGCCCTCGCCATACCTCCCAGCGTCACGGACAGATCGTGGTTGCCGGCTTGTTTTTCAAGCTCGGCCTCCAGAGGTCCGTTTCGGTGCCATCGGCACACGGGGGGTGGGGACGGGGCCGGTATTGGGCGAGATTGCGAATCATAGCAAAACAGGCTCGGGTGTGTGCGGCGCTTAGGTGATCACATTTGAAAGTGTTGTTTTTCAGATGAGTGCGTGCGGCGCTAAACGGAGAGCCTCCTTTTGAAACCCTTTCGCCCTCCATCCTTAACGCTGGTTGATTTTGTTTTCGGTCGTGAGTCGTATAAGGACGACTCAGGCGAAACGGTGGGCAAGGCCTCCGGACAAGTCTGCTGCTTCCCTGGCCTCGGTCTCGGCCTTCTCCAGGGGGCCCAAGAGGCTTGCAGGCATCTTTTCGGAAGCAGTTCCGACCCCCCCTCGTGGCTGCTTTGGCGTCTTTTGAGGTCTTTTTGTCCCTCTTGGGGAGCTGGGGCCTGTTGGAGGCCTCTGTGGGGGTCCTCGGTGCCTCTCGGGGGCCGTTCGTGGGCCCCGACTCCTGGGCCGTCTTGGGGCCCTCTTGGGCCGTCGCGGGGGCCTCTTGAGTGCCTCTTGGGCCGTCTTGGGGTCTTACGGAGGGAATTTGACGCTTTTGGCCCCTTGGGGTCTCCTTGGGAGGCCTCTCGGGGTGTTTTGGGGCGAGAACGGGGCCTCTGGGACTGTCTCCGGGCCATCGTGGGCGTCTTGTAGCCCTCTTGGCCCAGCTTGGGGCCCTCCGGAAGCCATCAGGAGCCGTCTTGGGCCCTCCAGGCGCGCTCGGGACCCAGCGGCCCTCAGCGGGCCGAATGTCTAGCCAGAGCAGTTTTCTATGTGCACTCACTGTATTAGTTCAGCTAAATATCCTGTTCATTCACCCTTCTACGGTGTCGGTTTTAGTGGAAATTCTGACTCCAGTTGAGCTTATGCGTGAGGTGGGCTTGACCACCAGTTCCTGCGCAAAGCTTCGTCGACGAGAGGAGGCAATTAGTTGTAAGTGCCGCAATGATTTCATCCAGTAGGTTTCACACTTCGCGGGGTCCCACGTGGCCCAGAATACCATAGATGCCAATTTTATCTCCATAACAAGTAATCAGGACTACAGGCGGGCTTCAACCGTTTCGACGGTTTCGAGACCTTTTCGGTTTAAAGGTCCCCCCACATTCTCGCCTGGACATTGTAGCCTGTAGTGTACTCTGCTATGAAAGAGCGTGTTCTACCGCTGCTGGCGGAAAACCGGGGGGGGTCACTACCAGTTCGAACCCCTTCCCCCCCCCCCCCTCCGGAAAACCGGGGGGGGTCTCTACCGGTTCGAACCCCTCCCCCCCCCCCAGCTCATCATGAAAAGGGGGGGGGGTCACTACTGGTTCGAACCCCCCCCCACTCGAATACCGGTGGTAGGGACCGGGAGTCGTTTGCTGGCGGTGCGGGGTGGGGGGGGGGGGGGTTCGAACCGGTAGTTCGAGGGGGGGGGGGGGTTCGAACCGGTAGTGACCCCCCTTGGTTTTTCCGGATCCAGAGGGGGGGGGGGGTTCGAACCGGTAGTGACCCCTCCCGGTTTTCGAGGGGGAGGGGAAGGGGGGGGTTTTGCCGGGGGAGACGGGGGGGGGTCCAGCAGGGGGGGAGGGGATTTTCGGATGGTGGGGGGCGACCCCTGGGTTCCAGAGGAAAAGGTTGGCAATTTTCTACAGTAAAGCGGCGGTGGATCACGCTCTCTCTCTCTCTCTTTCTCTGCTATCTACAGATACCTGTGTGGTTCTCGCGCGCGGGGAGTACGGACACGTCTGGTGGTGGGACAGGGAAAGTCATTCACAAGAACAGGGATGGAGGAGGAAAAAGGGAGGGAGGCAGGCAGGGGGAACAGATCGGGATGGAGAGCGAAGGAGGTAGGAAGCGAGAGAGAGAGAGGAGCGGGTAGGATGTGGGACGAGGGATGGATCGATGGAGGCAGGGATGCAAAGCGGAATGGGACCGGACGTGTATGAGAGAGAAGGCGAGGAGGAGGAGGAGGAGGAGGAGGAGGAGGAGGGGAAGGAGCAGGAGGAGGGGAAGGAGGACCAGGATGAGGGTCAGGGAGTGGAGGAAGGCAGGGCAGAGGGCAGGGACAGAGCAAGGGGAGGTATCGAGAGCGGAAGAAGGCAGGAGGGGTAGGAAGCAGTGAGGGGGAGGAGGGAGCAAGAGAAGGAGGCATGGAAGGGATGCAGGGGGGAGAGGAATGACGAAGGGAGTGTCGGCGTGACGGAGGAGTGTGGATCTACGTGCTCGAGTTCACGGTGCTTCTGTCCGTGTTGTCGAATTGCGCCCTGTTCGGCTTCTGCACGGACCAGCTTGGCACGGTCTTCCCCGCGCTAAGCAAGGATCCACGCTGGGGACTTGTCCACGTCCGCCGATGTACAGACGTTGCCCCCCCCCGTCCCCGAGAATGCCGCAGAGCGTTGGACGTGGATAATGTCTCGCCCTCGGGGTGCGAGATGGTCAGAGCGAGGTGGACGAACGGTCTTGCACCATCCCTGGGTGCGCGGGTGAAGTAGGATCCCGTGGCTCCGATTCTGCTGTTGCATGATTTGTTGCTGCTGTCGTCGTCACCCCCGCGACCCACCCCGCACTCCCTCGCCCTCCCCGTCCTCCCCGTCCTCCTCCTCGCCCTCCTCGTCCTCCTCGTCCTCCTCGTCCTCCTCCTCCTCCTCCTCCTCCTCCTCCTCCTCCTCCTCCTCCGCCGCAGGTGCGGGGTGCTGTGCATTCGCACCCCGCCACCCCGCCAGATCCCCCAGGGGGGGGGGGCCCGCCTCCCGAGCACATCGGCGGGCGTGGACGCCCGCCTTCTGCCGTGGCGAGGAGCACACGAAGAGCGGGGCCCCCCGCGGCTTCACCGTGCGCAAGGCTCCACGGGGGCTCCCCGCAAACCGGGCGCTCCTCCTCCTCGTCCTCCTCCTCCTCCTCCTCCTCCTCGTCCCTCCTCGTCCTCCTCCCCCTCCCTCCTCCTCCTCCTCCTCCCCCTGCTCCCCCTCCTCGTCCTCCTCCTCCTCCTCCTCCCCCTCCTCCTCCTCCTCCTCCTCCTCCTCCTCCCCCTCCTCCTCCTCCTCCTCCCCCTCCTCCGCCTCCTCCCCCTCCTCCTCCTCCTCCTTTTCCCCCACGGGCACGCCCGGCGCCCAGCCCGCACCTCGCCGCCGCACCGCCGACGCCAGCGGCCACGCGGCGTGGTCTGACGTCCGTTGCGTTTGCGCCCCGCGTTGCTGGCGCATCGCCGATGCATGTCAGGGGGGGACTTTGGACACCCGACATGGGTACGGAAGGAATGGGTACAATGCCGAACAGCAGTTCTTGCTCATTTTGAACAGGACTCGCTGTCGTTGTCGCCGCGGCCTGTGTCCATTCGAGACAGAGGGCCGCCTGCCCAACAGCGGTCGCTGTTGGTTTGGGACAACATTTGTTGATGGGCATTGTACCCATTTTTGCCGTACCCATTTCGGGCGTCCAAAAAGGTACCCGCACTGCTACCCTTCCCTCGGTTTCCCTGTTCTGGGCCTCCTCGGAGGCCCCCGCCGCCACCGCCGGATTCGCGGCCAGAGCCTTACCAGAACGCACCCCAGGAGAGGTCGGGGGAGTGGCGGTATCGGCACTTTATCGGTACCTCTTGGTTTCTTCGGCATGGGCGGCGCGAGGCGTTCTGGGGGCCTCACCGGCTGCGGCCCCGCTCTCTGGGGCCTTGGGCCCCCGATGGGTGCTTGCGACGGCTTCCCGCCAATCGGCCTTGTGGGGGCCAGGCCAGGGAGAGCGCGGCAAGTGCAGACACATGTGCGCACATATTGCGAAGCCCACGTTGGTACATCCAGATTTCCCCAGGGAGCTTGGAGCGAATCGTGGACGCTCCAGCGCGAGTCGAACGGCAGCAGAAGTTGTCAGGCCCTTGGCGATCCAAAGGCAGGCGTGTTCGCCGTGTTCGGCGTGGAGCACGCGCTCCTGCTGCTGTGGGCCCTGGCCAGGCTGCTGCCCATGGTTCCCACGTGGGTGGCGACCGCGCAGGAGCTCTGGGCATCAGGGGTTCTGCGAACATTTTTTTGTTGTGGCGTCCGCGGTCGCACCACGCCTGAGGGCCAGGTCGGTCTGCGAAAGGGCAAGACCATTTCGGAGGCCTAGAGGTCGGCACAAACACTAACATCGGCGGTGTGCCTCAACCGAGGGAAGGTGATCCCGATCTCGGTGATGGTACCACCAGCAGCAACATCCAGGATCATCTTTCCCTGGTGTAGGCAACCCTCCGTGTTGGTACTGGTGCTCCTTTCCAGGCCTCCGGCCACTGAAGCCACAGGAGAGGGGGAAGGACGAGAGACGTCGCGGACGGGCGGGAGACTGCGAGCGGGCAGCGCGGCCAGTCGGCAGAACCTTTCGAAGTTCCACGCGCGCGGAGTTTCTGGATCTGCGCTGGACACCCTATCGCCTCGGGCGTCGCCCCCGGCGCGCCCCGCGCGTCAGGGGGAGGGGGCCCGGCACCGGTCCACGTTTTCCGCGCGGTCGTTGGAAAGTTCTGCAGGCATGGCTTGCACTTGGGGTGTCAGATTTGTCGTCTTGAATCCCATAGGATGGGTTCCTGGGGCTTTCGGCCTGTCCGCTGCGGCCCACCCGTGAGCGCCTACAGTTTCGCCCAGTGTCCGTCGGGTGGGCGCTTCGTGCCCGCCTGGTGCCCGCTTGGAAGTGCTCGGGCGTGGACGAGGAGGAGGAGGAGGAGGAGGAGGAGGAGAGCGCTTCCCTCGTGGGCGCCCTGGGCATTCTGCCACACGGCTTGCCTCACAAAGTTTGCAGCGCATAGCTTCCACCACATGTCTTGCACCACATGGCTTACACCACACACAGCTTGCACCACATAGCTTACACCACAGGCTGCGCCACATAGCTTACACCACATACCATGCGCCACGTAGCTCACATCGCACACCTTATATCACATACGCTGCACCACAACGGCCACTCCACTCATGATGCACCACATCGGTTACCCTCATAGTTTCCGACACGTCTTTCGACGGTTCTGGCACCATATCTATGTGCACGTCGAGAGTGCACGGACATACTTGTTGCTGATGTTTCCTCTGACGCATTCCCCAATCAGTGCTTGCACTCAAGGGGTCCTAGCGGAAGTTGAAAGATTTGGCGAACGTTTCCTGCAGATTTTGGTAGCAGTCTGGGTTCCCTGGTTCTTGGTTCTGGGTTCCCGGTTCCCTGTTATTGGTTCCGGGCCGATTTCGGTGGGTTCTGGGTTCCTGGGCTCCCGGGTTCCCGGTCGATATCCTCAGCGAAAACTATCCTTTGATTGTTTTTTTTCTTTGGTGGTGTAATTTATGTTCAGCGTACCCAGGGACGGGGGTCCTCCAGTTCAGCTGCTGCGTAGGCACGTGGACAACCGCACTTCTGCCACCGCGGCCTGGGCAGAAGAGTTGTCCTCCTTCAGGCGGGTGGCGCGGGGGCGCAAAGATGACCTTCGCGGCGCGCGATGCGACGCGCGAAGACAGGTCACCTGTGCTCTCAGCAAGGGGCATTGCTGCACTTCACGCCCTGGGCCAGGGCTCGTTTCGATTCCTCCGATTCGATTCGATTTCGATGGCTTCCGGTTCCGATCCGATTCGACTTCACCGGTTTCTCAACTGAAGCCTTCGTACGAGCCTTTTGATTTCCGCCGATTCGACTTCTCCTGACTCGGCTGCCGATTTCCGCCGATCCGTTTCATGTTGATCGCCGAATTCGATTCTGCGCCCGACTGCGGGCAGAGTCGGGGCTGTCGGGGTGTTTCCCCGCGCGGCCCTCTAAGGAGCGGCGGCGCTTCCTGAGGACTGAGGCCGCTCGCTGGAACCCACCTGCTCGCCGGGACCGGATCCAAGAGTGCTGAGGTTTTTTCGGGAGCGCGTAGTTCAACGGCGGCGCGGCGCGGACAAACGATCAATCACCATCCCTGGCATCATCTATTACGCTGCATAGGGAGGTCTGGCTGCATCGCCGCAACGACAGTTCCTCGAATTCTGCCACCCGCCCGATAGCGCATAATGCTCACAATCACGAGCCCCCCAGCGACAGCGACCCCGCCCTGGAAGCCTGGCAAGACGCCCGTCTTGCGCGACCTGGGCGTAATCCCGCTCGCTTGGTGCAGAGTTAGTTTGGCTCAGGGAAGAGTGTATCCCACCCATAGATGCAGGGTACACGCCGGTCGTTGAAAGTAGGTATTTTTGGATTCCCAGATCCCAATCTACTTCAAGCGCCTTCCTACTTCAAGAATCGACATGATTTTGCTGTGTTTTGTTATTCTCTGGGAGGGGCCTGGACCCAATCCACTTTATCCGCCTTCTAACTTCATGTTTTTACCTACTTCTTCCGACCGACGTGTATCCGTAAATCCAGTGCGGGATACACATTCTGCAATCTCATGGCGTCTTGGTGTTGTTATGGGTCATGCTCAGAGCATTCCCGGGCCATATTCGGGTCATGGAGTCGCGTTTTGGCACCTCTTCGGCCTTTTCTGGCCCGCCTGTGGGCCGTCGCACATGGGCATTGGGACTTCAGGGATCACCCGTGGTAAATCTGTGTATACATATCACATATATATACATATCTATATATATGTGTATCTTTATATGTAGGTGTCTCTGTATGTGTATATCTATATATGTATATGTATGCATGGCCACCTAGGGGTTGCCCTGCGGCCAGCTGGAGGCCAAGTCGAGATCATGCGCGGATCACTGGGCCCTCTCGGGGTCGCCCTCAGGGCACGGAGGGCTCGTGTCGTGTCGACGCCACGTCGAGCCCGCCGTGGGCCCTCAAGGCGGAACGCCGCCGGTGGCGTCGGCCTGTACGTAACGATCTAGCGATCGGAAAGCCGCCGATCGCTCCAGGCTGAACACTCCACGCGGTGGACACCGGACACCAACGGCGGGGGCGTCGCCACACGAACCTGCCGCATTGTCGCTTCGCTTCGCGCTTCGAAGGGGTTTCGGTCACGCGCTGGGGTCGCGGGGACGCCTTGGCATCGGTTTGGGTCGTCTACTTGTCTTGCGCAGTTCCAGGGACAGTTATGTTGCGGCCAAGTCGTGACACCCGCGATCGGTTGGTGAACTGCGTCAGCCGGGAAGTGGTCAAGCAGCCAGTGTAGTCACCCGTTGGCCGTTGTATGGTGGTGCAAAGCCAGTCTTCTCGCTCCCATCGTCCATGCCGATGGGATCTGAGGATCGCGCCGCCTCGCCGATGCTTTAGCGATACGATGCGGCCCGATCTTCAGACCTATGTCCTCTCTGTCTCGACGTCGCCTACGCATCGCCGTTGCGGTGTGATCCTCCGACCCTGCCTGGCAGAACCTCCAGCTGCGTGTGCCCTCCCTCCTCCCTTCTCTTCCTCCCTCCTTACATCCCTCCCCCCCTCCTCTCCCTGAGCAGTGGGCCTCTCGGTTTGTCGTGGCGGAGGTGTTGGCTGGAAGTTTCGCAGGACTCCATCCGAGGCGACAAGCAGGCTCATAGAGGCTCGAAGGTGTGAGAAGCGTATCGTCGGAATCTCGAATCTCCATCCTCCTCCCTTCCCGTTCCTCCCAGACCCACGGCGGCGTGTCGTTGTAAGTCGGGCCTGTCCCTCTACAGGGGGAAAATTCAGAAGCAGTCAAAACATAGCCTGGGGACGATTTGTCTAGTATGTTTTGAATCTTTGGGGGTATATTTTTCAGTGTTGTTGATTTTTCGTTCAAAATCCGCTTGTAGGGGGACATGCCCGACCTAACAGCAGGGCAGGCCCCCTTGAGGTCTGGACCCGCCCCCCCGGGCCAGCTTGGTTATCGCCCCGAGCCTTCTTTTAGGTCGGGCCTGTCCTCCTACAGGCGGATTTTGGACGAAAAAACACATAGTCCAAAAATATTCCAAAGTGGTCAAAAAATGCTCAAACATAGTCCCCCGTTGAATATTCCTCCTGTAGAGGGACAGGCCCGACTTAAGCCTTCTTACTAGGGGCAACGATAGATAGGGGGGGATGGGTATAGGGGGGGGATGCATCGCCTCCCAAATCGCCCCTTCATCGCCAATAAGGGCTCGATAGCCCCAACCCGCCCAGAAAGTCGCGGATTCACTGTCGGAGGCCTACCGCCGATCCGTCGGCGATGTATCGCCGATTCCAGGTCGATGCATCCCCCCCATGCCAGTCCCACCCTATCGTTGCCCCTCATCTGAACTTTTGACTGTCCCGGGGTCCGAGCCACGAGGGACCGACAGCAGGGAAAAACGCACGTGCCGCCATTCTCAAGCCGGGCCTGTCCCTCTAGAGGAATGTTCAGAAGTAGTCAAAAGACACTCTGGGGATGATTTTTCGACTATGTTTGACCATTTTTGGGGCATTTGTTTAGTATGTTTTATTTTTCGTCCAAAATCCACTTGTAGGGGGACATGCCCGACCCAGCGCTATTCTTCTCACGACGTGATTTGGTACGGGTTGAGGGTGCGCTCCGGCCAGAGTTTGGAGGCGGGCGCAACCGTGGCGACGAGGAGTTTGCCTGGAGGCCCAGGCAACCGTGGCAGCCGTGGCAGCCGTGCAGCTGCGTCCGTGACAGCAGTGGCAGCCGTGCTTACGAGGAGTTGCAACCGTGGCAGCCGTGCGACTGCGTCTGGCAGACAATTACTTGTCTGCCGCGATGTAATACAAATGCATATATATATTTATATATATATATATATATATGTATATATATATATATGTATATATATATAGATATCTAGTAAATCCCCCGCGGCGGATCCGGGCCATCTGCGAGCAGTTGTTCTGCGATTAGTGGAACGAGCGTGTTTATGGAACGTATCCGGAGCCAATCCTACCAGGATATCGTTGTCGTCCTATCCTCGGCGTCACCCCAACATACTAATGCTATGTTTGCGTCTCACCCCCCACAAAGGGGGCGTCGCGCGCGCCGAGAAGTCTTGTAGTGCAAGTTCCGCCGCGGGCGCTTCTGGCTATGCCGCTCGGGGAGCGATACACTACAAGATGGGTATGCTATATTTTCGGGTCGGACGCATGTCTCCAACGAGGACACATCGTATTCTAAACGCTTCGCGTCTCCCCACCAGCCCGTCCAGAAATGAGTCCCAGGGGTGTGGAGGTGATGAGGGAAGCGGGGGAGCACGCAGAAGAACAAAGGGCGGGGTAAACCCCTCCCCGAAGGGGAAGGAGGGGGTTGGAAGAGGAAACTCTCTAGACCACCGACGCCCAGAGGGCTGGTGGGATTAGACTGTGTTTGCCATCGCTCTGGCAGGCGCAGTCTTCCTCGGCGAGGGCCATCAGGGAGCACCCCGGGCCATCCTGCGAAGGGCACGCGCACTTGGCGTCGCTCGGGCGTGTGCCTTTTTTTCTCGGCGAGGGCCATCGAGGAGCATCTTTGATCATTTAGCGGAAAATGCACGCACGAAATCGAAACATGCACAAGGAATGGACGTCCGAGCGATGGCGAGCGCACGGAACCGCCGAATGCAAGGGGAATGGTCGTTCGCGCGACTGCCGGCGGCGAGCGAGGGGGGAAGCGAGAAGGAGAAGGCCTTCTCAGAAGGCGGCGGGCCTTCTCGGAAGCCCTCCTGCCTTTTGAGAGGCTCTCTGTGTCTTCGGGGAAGGCTCAGAATGCTCCTCAGACGACGGGGGGACTTTTGAGCCCTCTGAGGAGGCCCGCCCTTTCTCACTCCCCCCCCGAGCGAGGCTCGCCTCCGAGACTGCGTGCGAGTTGTGCGTCTACCTAGTACGTCATCGTTGTCGTCCCGTCCTCCTCCCTCGGCGCAGGGCGGGAGGACTTGGTCTATCCTCTGAATTCCGTCTTGAGCGTCGACTAGCGTCGACTAGTGTCTGGGAGTCGATGCGATAGCGCCGATTTCGCGTCGATGAGCGTCGATTTGGCCTCGACCAGCGTCGACTGGCGTCGATTCGCAAGAGCCGACAACGTGGCATGGGAGGCTCCCACGAGCTGCCACCAGATGCCGTGACGTCGCCGAGGCGGGCATTTATATACACGACCGCCGCCGGGAGGGTCCGTTGTCGGGGCCTCGGCAGGCGGAGGGCGTGGACGTATATGCGGACCCCGCGGGGGCCGAGCTAGAGATCCACATCCGCCGCCCGCTGGAGCACCAGGACTGGGGGAACAAAAACAGTGACATAAACATAGCAACTCGTGACGAAGATCATTGGGAATCGTGATGTTTAGAATGTAGTTCTTGCTTCCGTCAGCTTTCTCCATTCCGTTGACCGCGCAGCTCTGTATTTCAATCGTGGCATGTACAATCGGCCAACACTGTTCGTGTTCTAGGCTTAGCGAAAGAAAGAAAGAAAGAAAGAAAGAAACATAGCAACTCGGAGGCCCGCGCGGATTTCTCGGGTGCTGGACCCCCCTCCCCTGCGCGCGGAGCGCGCCAGGGGCGGCGCCAGAGGCGCCGCCGGGGGCCCCTGGCGCCGATGCGAGAAATCCGCGCGGGCCTCCGAGGTCTTATGTCTATGCCACCTGGTGTTCCCCTCAGGGCGTCGGTTCCCAGGCGGCGGATCATTATGGACAAATCCCCCGCCTCGCAACGTCGTCGTCCTCCTGTCCTCCTCCCTCGGCGCAGGGCGGGGAGGGGGCGCCGCGCCGCCCCGCGCGCCGCCATGCGCCGGGCCCCGGGGCCCCGCCCTGCCGCCCGTGGCCCCGCGCGCCGGGGCCGGCGGAGGCCGCGCGCGGCATGGGCGCTCCCTCGCAAGCAGTGGCGAAGCGTCCTGGCGTGCCGAGGGCCTCTGTGTGGTGTCCACGAGCCGTTCTCCGAACGTCTCTGGCTGGGATGGGTCCGTGTCGACACCTCGGGGCCGTGTTCTGAGAACATAGTTTTTGTTCCTGGAACTGGGTAGTCGAAGGCCAGACTGTCAGATTGGATTGGGCCCCAAGGGCCAATCTGGCCCGGCCAAGCTGGACGATTTGGGTGATTCGCCAGACTGGATTCGCGTTGGCTCCCTCGCCAGATTGCCCCCGTTTGCCAGATTGGGCCTTTCGGATTGGCGCCAGATTGGCTTCGACTACCCAGTGGAACACTGTTGGGTTCTATAGAACATGTCGTGGTAGGCCTACAGGACTGCCGGGACTGCCGGTCCCTGCTCCGCACGTGTCCCCAGGCACCCGGGGGGCCCTCGCCGAGGGCCTCGCTGGAGAGCGCCGGAGCGGCTCGGGGCGAGAGGCCTGCCCCGGGGAAGGGGCCGAGGCCTCGGGCACGGCGGCGTTATTTCAGGAGGGAAAAAACACAGACACAATGAATCGTCGACCCCCAGGAAAATATGGGAACATATGGGAAGTGGGGGGGACGACCAAAACCCAGAAAATATGGGAAATATGGGGAATCCTGTTATTTGTGTGTATTTATTTGTGCGTCCCAGTTCCCCTTCAGTCATGTTGAGTCGGGCCTGTCCCCCTACAGGGGGATCTTCGACGAGAAAAAAAACCCAGAATGCCCCAAAAGGTTGGTTGGTTTGGGCTGGTTGGTGGACGCATTGTCCAGCATTGTCTTCTCGGCATCAGTGCCACAACGTTGACGGCGGGCAGCGCATCTCTACATAATAGTGTTTTTGCTCGAACTCGCTGAGCAAGCAAGGATACAGCCAAGGTAGCAGAGTCTTGGCCGAGCACCAAAACATCATCGCCAGAGCGTGTGTGTTGCCCATTCCCTGTTCGACGAGAAAAAAAAACCCAAATGCCCCCAAAGGTCGAAGTTTGCAAAATTAAATAGTCCACAGGGTATGTTTTGATTCTCTGTTGATTATTTTTTGGGTATTTTTTATTTGTCATCGAAAATCTCCCTGTATGGGGGCAGGCCCGACTGAAACGTAATGAACCAAATCATGGCGTCGGGGATCTGAGTTCGGCACGGCGACATGTCAGAGGAGGAGCGGTTGCCCATGTTGCCACCCTCTGCCTCGCTTGCGCCTTGCTGGGGGCCTCCCGAGAGGCCCTCGTGGCCAGCCGGCGGATCCGCCTCGAAGCCCTGGGGCGAAGGCCCCCCCAGGGGAGGTCTCCTGGATTCCCCCAAATTCGGTGCGGAAAGAAGGTCGGTCAGGCCCGTGTGCCCACCAGGGGCGGCCACGCCGGGCACAGGCGGGGAACTTTCAGCAGGCTCTGCGGCCGGCGCTGCAAGCAAGGGCGCGCGAATCGGTTCACGAGGAGGGGGGAAGAGCAGAAGAGGGGAGGAAAGAATCCGCGCGGAACGTATCCGTGCGACCGCGTGTCCGCGGGAACGCGCCCCAGAATCGGGTCCGCGAGGGCGATTTGTTCGCCGATCGTGGAGGTGGCGACCCCTGGGGCCATGTCTCGGCGCGATCGAAAGGTACGGGAAGGGTGGGCACGAAGACCGACAGCATGCCATGTTCATGTTGAACCGGGTTCGCTCTCGGCGTCGCCGCGGGTGTTGTCCACTTGAGACAGAAGTCCGCCTCTCAAACAGCGGCCGTGTTCGTTTGTACAACATTTGTTGTTGGGAACC